CATGTTATACTGTACCTATTGAGAAACAGCGCATGTTATACTGTACCTATTGAGCGGGATTTTGATGAGTGGGAGGCTGAAATGGGGAGTCTAGGAGAACAGATTTCTTGAACAGTATCTCCTTTGGAGGGGAAGTGACTGAAGCGTTGATCCACCGCATCTACATCTTCTTCATCAACAAGCAAGGATGCCTTCATGATCTAAAAAAGGCACTATCTATAGAATGACTACTTCCCATAAATGAAAGACCATAAAAGAAAAATACAGTTTATATGAGCCTTAGTCCAGAACAAGTATAACAGTTTTGCGACCAACACAGCACTTCACTTCATGTGCCTGAAAAACTGAACTCATACGATTCTCATCTTGTATTTACTGTGTTCCACCAGTCCTGGCACACAGTGATTACTATTATTTGCTGAATAAATGACTTTAAAGTCAAACATAAGCCAAAGGCTAAACTCAGCTAGAAAAAGAGAAATTCAAGTATTTACTATGTTTCCAAGATTTCTACGTTTGAAACCCAAGACTACTCTGTCAAGCAGACAAAGCGATATTTGATAGAACTTAGTGCTGGCAGTTGTTAACTTTGTCATCTAAAGAAAGGGTAGTAAAGCTACAAAACTTGGCTGAAAAACAGATCTTCCGATTTTAAGCAGGAAAAACAGAAACCACCTGTGACACTAGCCTATTTCCTTCCATTATACTGAACTCTCTCTCAATAGTCTAAAATGCATAATCAAAGAAGAGGTATGATGTTACACAGATATTAAATATTAGTTTGACTTTCTGCTATAGTAAGGATGGGCCAGAACGTCACCTGTAAGACATGTGGATTAATTCCCAGTGAAGATGCAATGTGTGTTGAAGCAGACACAGGCTCCTGATCCTCAGGCATGCTCTCTTCTAACACAGAATCCAAAACTGGCTCCTGGGTGATATCTACCATGTCACTGTCCAATTCCACAACCCTCCCTAACTGTTCGACTTCTGGGCTCTGGCTCTGCAGACAGCAAAAACAGAGAAGCAAACAGATTAGTGGTACATCAGATAAACTTTACTCAGAATATGATCTAGAAATATTCTGCATATTCTAAGATATGAGAGATTTGCTAAAAGGCTTTAATATTAATTGCCTCTCTAAGAATCTGGGACACAAATGGTTTATGGATCATCCTTCTGGAATTAGCACGAGGCAGGATCTAGGATCTAGGATCTAAGCCAACAACCATGCAGTGGTCTTTAGAGACAAAGGATATACTGTAACTCCCTTTGTTAGTAACTATAATTTCCTGATCTACATAGGGTTACCCTGTCCTCCCAATGACTAGGAACTGAAAAAAGAGGAATAACTATTAAGCATAGGCACTCTCTCAAATTACATTTAGTGTACAAATAATTACATTTTTCCCTTGTATTTAACGTGTTTTGTTTGCATGTATGTAGATGTACCCTTGTGCGCCTGGTGCTAGAAAAGGCTAGAGGACAGCCTTAAAAAACCTGGAACTGGAGTCACAGATGGCTATAAGCCACCATGTGGGTGCTGTGATCTGAATCTAGGTCTCTCAAGCCCCAATATTTGCATTTTTTGTTTTGTTGGTTTTTCGAGATAGGGTTTCTCTATACTATGGCTGCCCTAGAATTTGCTTTGTAGACCAGGCTGGCCTAGAACTAAGGCCTGCCTGCCTTCCAAATGTTGGTATTAAAGGCGTGCGCCACTATCGCCCGGCTATAAACTTGTAGTTAATAGTTTTAGTTTTGGAACGAACTCTTCTGAGTGACTAGAGTAACAAGTGCAGTGTGTGTGCAATCTTATGTGGAGTATGAGCAAGGTCCACACTTACTTTCCCTAAAAAGACAGTATTACAGACAACTCCAGTTCTTTTTATGTTTTAAATTTACAGGGGCTGGAGAGATGGCTCAGCAATTAAGAACATTCGTTGTTCTTCAGAGGATCTGGGTTCAATTCCCAGCATCTACATGATAGCTCACAACTGTCTGTAACTCCAGTTTCAGAGGATCTGACACCCTTACACAGACAGACATATGTACAGGCAAAAAAACAAAAACAAAACAATGCTCATAAAATAAACTATTTTCAAGAAGTTACATTTACATTATAAAGCAATTTTAAAGACATACTAATGACAAAATAATTAATGATGTGCTAAAGAGATCGTCCAGTCAGTACCGTTTGAGGTCCTAAGTTTAGATCCCCAGCATCAATGCAAGAAGTCAATCACTGTGGGGCACACGTGAGAGGCTCTCTGGAGCTTGCTAGCCAGCTAGTCTAGCTAAACAGTAAGTGCCAGGTTCAGTTAGAAACCTTGTCTCGTGCTTGCTTCGGCAGCACATATACTAAAATTGGAACGATACAGAAGATTAGCATGGCCCCTGCGCAAGGATGACATGCAAACTCGTGAAGCATTCTGTATTAAGATCTCAAAGATGTAACATAGACAGTGAGAGAGGAAGACATCTATTACTATGGTCTCTATACATACCTGTAACACATGTACCACACACAAACCACACACAAGATAGCTTATGGTAAAAGGTTAAGGCTTATAAAATGGAAGTGCACTATAAATTAACTAATCTGATACATAATTGTTTCACAAATTTAAAACACACATAAAACCTAGCACAGTGTGCTAACAAATGACTATAATTTATAAATGTTTTCAATACAAAAAGTACTATGAATTATTTGTTATCAAGCTATAACTTACATATATGCTCCCTGTACAATGTTTGGATGATTTTTCAAGAGTACCTACTTTATGTTACATTATATTTTATTTTTTATTTTTTTTTTTCGAGAAAGGGTTTCTCTGTAGCTTTGGAGCCTGTCCTGGAACTAGCTCTGAGTGCTGGGTTAAAGGTGACGTGGGCCCCCACCACCACCCAGCTTATGTTATATTTTAAACAAATGCTGTGCTATGGCAAGTATTCCTCTTTTTTTGAAGACAAGGTTTCAATGTCACTTAAAAAATGCAAGTTTTAGAAGAGCTGGAAATAAGGCTCAGTGGTTAGAATGTTGGCCAATCTTCCAGAGGACTCAGGTTTAACACCCAGGTTAATGTACAAGGCATATAAGCACTTCAAATGTAGACACTACCCAAAGACTGCTTTACTAAAGTTAGATAATGTTCCCTTAGCTTGGACTAAGGTCCCAAGTCCAGTAGCCCAGCATATTCCAGACTTGTTCAAGGACACAGATTGCTTTTACAACAAGCACTGCCAAAATGAAACAATGACTGAAGGTGAATTAGCATTTCACATCAGTCTCATGCTGTAAAATTGTAGGGATTCAGTGCTAAAGTAGGTGTCTAGTAAGAATAATCCTGGAATCCCATACATTCCCAAATATAATTGTTTTGTTTTTCAAGACAGGGTTTCACTGTAGCTTTGGAGCCTGTCCTGGAACTAGCTCTTGTAAACCAGGCTGGCTTCGAACTCACAGAGATCCGCCTGCCTCTGCCTTCCGAGCGCTGGGATTAAAGGCGTGCACCACCACTGCCTGACTCCTAACATGTTAAAACAGGGTAGCCCTGACTGCCCTGAAACTCACTATGTAGAACAGACTGACCTCAAACTCAAGATATTCACTCTCCTGTGTCCCAAGTGTTAGGATTAAAGGTTTGACACATCACACGTGGCCTAACAACTCATTTTGGGAGTGATGGTACTGGGAATGGAACCTAGGGTCAAGTACGTGCTGTGAGCACATGCCAAGCTGAGCTACACCCTCAGCCAGGGTTCCCTTTCAACAAACACTATGATATTCTCTATCATATCAGCAGGACACCATACTGGTTTTGGCTTCCACATTACCTGGTTCTTCCTATTTAACATCATGTATCAAAATTTATTATCATTATATATGTGTGTGTGTGTGTGTGTTTGATCTGACAGGTAGTGAAGCTATGAAAACAGGAATTATGGTTGACAATATTCTGTATTTAGTAACAAGCACATCAATTACTTAAGTTTCACATTCAACGAACACGTGCTTTGTGCTTTCCACCTAATAAAGTATCTGGCACACAGCAGAAAAACAAAAACAAAACAAGTGACTAAAAAAGGATAAAGACTGTGGGTGGAGATGGAAGGGGGCATGGCATCAACTTCCTGTACTACTTAACACAGGGAAAACCATCCACCAGGAAATCCAGTGGGAGGGTTTCATAAAATAACTAGATTAGAGACAAAAGGGACCCAGGATATACAGTGAAGAGAGCTGCAGATCAACGTTTTCTATGTTCCTGCTCACACAGCTGTTAAAGGGAGATGACATCACCGAGTATATAGACAAGCCGGAAAGGAAATACCATAAACCTGGGGAACTGGCACAGGTCTGGGAATCCCTGCGCATGGACTTAGTAGAGTGCACCTAAGAAATTTCAATAAATTACTCTAAAATCTTTTAAGAAATCTTGGCCAGCCGGTGGTGCACACCTTTAATTCCAGCACTCGGGAGGCCGAGGCAGGTCAGTCTCTGTGAGTTCTAGGCCAGCCTGATTTACAGAACAAGTTCTAGGACAGCCAAGGCTACACAGAGAAATCCTGTCTCAAAAGAGAGAGAGAGAGAGAGAGAGAGAGAGAGAGAGAGAGAGAGAGAGAGAGAGAGATCAGTGCAGACTAGACACTTCTTCAGAGTCAGAGAAAAGGAGTGGGGAGAACAACTCCTGAGTTCTATGGGAAGGAAAGGTATGTACAGGACGAGTTGACTCGGCATCAGCTTAACTCCCTTTCCTACAAGGTGTTTGATGAATTAGAAATATTACTTACAAGAATTATATATAAATTGATAATCTGAAAAACTGAGGGTAGGGTTCACAACAAAGACAGCATTTCTGTGTAGCTTGGAGCCTATCCTGGAAATCATTCTATAGACCAGGTTGGCCTTGATCCCAGAGATCCGCCTGCTTCTGCTTCTCAAGTGCTGTGATTAACGGCATGCATTACCACTGCTAGCTACCAGCAAGAAAGGTTTATTTTTACACTCAAAATGTAATCTTCTACATGTAATCAACATGATCAATACTTAAAATTCACCCCTCTTTATTCCAAGGGAAAAGTGAGATAACTCAAGATGTTCTTAAATTAATAAAGGAAGGAAGGAAAAAAGAAACTAAGAAAGAATATGCGACCAGTCCAAGATCAAATTTTTATAGTTGATATTATTCTTTCAGCCAATTAAGTTGCTCCAATACAACTACTGCAATTGCCCACTTAAAGAAAACTTGTCTTCTAACTATAAAGAGTATTTTCACATAGTTTTGTTTGAAAACTAGTTGTTAACAACACGGTGTTCTCTTTAAAAGAAATTATGCATTAGGCTTTCAAAGCCTTGTGTCTTGTATTTACATTCTAAAAATTCTGCATGAGGGATAAATCCTATATTATATTAGCTTATATTTGATTTTTAAATTAATAAGAAAACCAACATGCCTAATATCTGAAAGTAAATTCTGGCCACACCGTGAGCACACGCGCGCGCACACACACACACATACACACACACACACACTGAATGTTTAGAAGTCCTTTTATTTCAAGTCACAGTATACATAAATCTTTTTTTATTTTAAATTTTTATGATTTCTTTATCTTTTATTTTATGTGCATTGGTGTGAAGGTGTCAGGTCTCCTGGAACCGGATTTTCAGACAGTTGTGAGCTGTTATGTGGGTGCTGGGAATTGAACCCGGGTCCTCTGGAAGAGCAGTCAGTGCTCTTAACTGCTGAGTCATTTCTCCAGCCCCAGTATACATAAATCTTATCCTAAATTATGATACCTTTTTTCCTGGAAAAAAAGTTTTAAAATTGGAGATGGAGATCCGGCTCAGCAGTTAGAACATTTGCTGCTCTGCTGCTCTTTCGAGGTCCAGGTTTGGTCTCCAGTGTCCATACAGTGCCCACAATCACTCATGACACCAGCTCTAGAGACCCACGGCTTCCACGTTTTGCACAGGCACCAGGAGCACAATATGTTTTATATATATATATATGCAGACAAAATATTCATACATATGAAAAAAAATTTAATTTGCTTTAATACTTCTTTGAATAAATTTACTGACTGAACATGTTTCTGAGAAAGCTAACTATCTTGACTTACTGAACTAAGGGTGGGAGTAAAAGCTTCATCTACCTGAGTGTCAAAAGGTTTCAGGTCTTTCAGTTTCAAAACCTGTCCAAACACCTCCATCAGCTGGGGAGAATTATTAAAAATTAAGTATGTCTGAACCCCATGGAACTGAAGTGATGGATGATCTAAGTAACCATAGTCAAGCTCTCTGGACTAGTGATGTAGTCATCTAGAAACCAGAAACTCCAGACGGCAGCAGTCCCACAGCAATTTCATTTACTGCAGTGAAGGATGATCAGCCAACATTCTCTCACCTGAAAGTTACAGATCATATAAAACTGTGTTTTCTTCTTGCTTTGTTATACCAGCTTTTTAAGGTACAAAGGCAAGGTATACAGACCACCTGGAAACAGAACTGAAACTAATGGATAAAAAGTTATGCTGTATAAATGTGATCCTTAAAATGCAAACTTTCCTGAACAGGGCAAGAAAAAACCCTTCCATCTGTGGTAAACTGGGGGATTGAGGGAGTCTTTCATCAGACTTCAGGAACACCTTGTAGAAATCAGTCTCTCTGGGAAGGACGCAACAGTGTGATGTTTGACCATACAACTCTGACTCCAGAATGAAAAGAATGTGCTATCTGTTCATTCTGATAGTTCAGGTAGTTTCCTGTGCCGAGTAAAGCAACTAATAATAATTAGCCAATCCCTCAAATGTCACCATGGAATAGGAAGGGTGCTCCAGAGCAGAGCACATAATGCATGTAAACATAACATCCCTCTCACTTCTGCTCACTGCAAACCAACTCCTTCAATCCCGGTGGTACCCACGTTCACTGTGTTCTATTTGTCCAGTTTGAATCCTTACCAGTTCTCTCTTGGCTAGAACTTGTTCTGAGATAGCTTTTGCTCTCAGCTTTGCGATTAGCCTTGCCTACTATACTGTCATTTTAGAAATTTAGATCCTTTTCCCAGTGTTTGATTCTGGTGACTAAAGCTGATTAATAACATATTACTAATGTAAATTTGTTCTGTTTACCTACAGATGAAGCTTTTCTTTTTCAGTCATAACTCAAAGACCTTACATGTTTATTAGCAGGAAAAAAATGGCTGATTTATTTAGAAAAGATTAAAAAAATATATGTGTGATAGGAGTCACACAGACACACACAAAAAAATGGATAAATAAAAATAAAACCATGTTTGCTCATGCAGAGAAAGGCAGATCTCTGAGTTCTAGGACAGCCAGGACTACACAGAGAAATCCTGTCTCGATCTTTTGGGAATGTCTTACTAGGTCGATCATGCTGGCCTCAAACTCAGAAATCTGACTTCCACTGCCTCCTACGTCATTAACAGATTTATTAGCAGAGGTTTGTAATAGCAATATTTTAAATACAACCAAAGTTATAAAACTTAAAAATCTGCTGGGTGGTGATGGCATACGCTTTTAATCCTAGCACTTGGAAGGCAGAGGCAGGCAGATCTCTGTGAGTTTGAGGTCAGCCTGGTCTACAGAGGTAGTTCCAGCACAGGTTCCAAAGCTATACAGAGAAACCCTGCCTCAAAAAAAACCAAAACCAAACAAACAAATAGATAAAACAAAACTTAAAAGTCAACCATGCTGTGGCGAAGCACACCTTTTAATTCCAGCACTTGGGAAGCCAAGGCCAGCCGCCAGTCTGATCTACAGAGCTAGTTTCAGGACATGCAGGGCTATACAGAGAAACCCTGTCTCAAAACACCAAAAACAAACAAAAACCTTAAAAGTCAACAGTTTCAAATTTCACATTTATCATAGCTTCCCCTTCCAGTCTCTACACATAAACGTGACACACACAAGATTCTCCAGAAAGTGCCTCCCCAGAAATTATTTAATAAATCATAAAAATCACACATTTGAGCAGCCAAAAGAACTGTAACATGGAAAACCCCAAACGTCCTACTTTTAGCAGCTGAGAGGTAGAGGGTGTTTTACAAAGTCTCATAAATAACTCTTCTTAGAGGGAGTGTGTCAGTAAGTTAAAAATATTTCTATAACTTGATTGCATATAAACGACATCCAAATTAAAGTAAATCTCTTTTACCAGTAGGTATTCAATTAATTTACAAACCTTTCCCTTTAAAGGACAAAAGGTTGATATTGGTTTAACAACAGTGAAAAAGTGTATGATACAAATATTTGTAATAAACAATGCAGTCCCTTATTTTCTACACACTAAATAATTTAATGGCTTTTAAAATGATCTATTTTCATAAAGATTATTAAAATACAGTGTCATGAGTTTGAAATATAAGCAAACTTGAGAAAATGGAATTAAAAACTCTTATAGAAAGCTAATCTTTTAAAAAGCAATGGATCAAGATTTAAAAAGTAAAGATCAAGATCAGAGTGCACATCACGAAATCAGTAAAAGTAGGATTTACTTTGCATCAATCAACCCTACATAAGCAAAATTCTATCTCATGTTGACCACTGATCAAAAATTACAAGTCCAGATGAGAAAAACTGAGAATTACAATCTGTAGAAGAATGATCCAAACAGCAAGAGAATTCTTTAACTCTTGAGTAAATACTAGCATCCTGTACCACATCAGCCTCCCTTGGACGTATCAGGTCCCAGGACTGTGTAGCTGAAAAGCTGCGAGACTGCTTTGACGTCTTTATCACCGTTCCATTACATTCACTGTCCTTTCTCTACCTGAGGTGTAGGTGCAGGTTTGCCATTAAGAGTCATCTGGAAAGGAGCTGCCTGGCTTGCAGGGGGCAAAGGGGCAGTCTTCAACTTCTTTGAAGTAGTTTTGGGTGGGTGTTCTTCCTCCTCTTCATCAGAATCCTGAAGGCCATATTTAGAAAAATGGGAGACCTAGAAAGACAAGAAACGCAGCAAAGTCAACTTTTAACAATATTCTTTTCTATAATATCTACCTTTGAAAAAAAGACAAAGGGGAGAGATATTAAAATAGTTAAAGCAGGAGCTGGACAGATAGCAATTCAAAAACACTGGCTGTTCTTCCAGAGGACTGTAAAACTCTTACCTCCAGGGGACCCAATACCCGGTTCTGGCTTCCAAAGGTACAGAGCACATAAATAAATGAATAAACAAATTTTAAATAACTAAAATAAAATGTTAATGGCAGCATGTTTTCTATGATTTTGACAGCTTTCAGTACACATAATAGTTGCTCAAAATTAAATAATATATGGTGTGAATATACAATGAATCAGGCATGCTGGTGCACATCTTTAGTCCCAGCACCAGGGAGGCAGAGGCAGGTGAATCTAGTTGACACCCAAGGCCAGCTAGGTCTACAAAGCAAGTTCCAGGACAGCCAGGTCTAAACAGTGAAACCCTGACTTGGAAAACCCAAACCAAAGCCAACCAATAAACAAGAGAGTTAAAATGCAATCATCCATGAATCCTGATATATACTACCTAACTGTTCTCTACCTACCCAACAGCCTTCAACCGACTAAATCCCCCAACCAGCCTAGAAGAAGAAACTATCGGATAAGACTATACAAAACAAGTAGCAGCCAAACTCTCTACTTTTAAAAGTGTTTGTAAATAAAAATTACAAGATCGGAGGTAAAGATACCTGCTGAAATATCTGATTTTGATTCTCAAGACCCCGGTACAGAGAACCCACTTCCATAGGCTGTCTTCTGACATGTGCTTGTACACTCTGACATTTTCTGTTCCCACACATTTGCACACACATATAAACAGAAACTGTAAAGGGCGAAAGATGCATCTATTGGAGCTAGGGAGATGGCTCAGTTGGTAAAGTGTTCACCATGTAGTAATGGGTACCCGAGTTCAGGAGATACTCCCTATCCCAACAAAAGAGGCTGGCATAGCCACCATAACCACAATCTCAGCACTGCAGAGGCACAGGCACTTGGGTCCTTGGAGTTTAGCTGGACAGTCAGTCTTCTTGGACCAGAGAGCTTCAGGTTCAGTAAGAGACTCTCTTTCAAACAGTAAGATTAGTTGGTTGTTGTGGTATATGCCTCCCTCCCTCCTTCCTTCAGGTGGTTTGAGATAGGGTTTCTCTGTGTAGCTTTGGAGTCTGTCCTACCAGGGTGGTCTCGAATTCACAGAGATCCACCCACCTGCATCTGCTTTCCAAGTGCTGGGATTAAAGGCATGCACCAACCCACTGCCCAGTGGTGTAAGCCTTTAGTCTTTAATCCCAGCATTAAGATAGCAGCACACAGATCTCTCTGAGTTCAAGGACAGCTTCTACAAACCAAATTGCAGTTCAGTCAGGGCTACACAGTGAGACCCTGTCTCACAATTCAAATGGTAAGGTAAAGAGTAACAGAGGAAGAGGCCTGACATTGATAATACATACACCCACCAACGGTTTTGGAAGACCTACTTTACCAAGAGACAAAGATTTCTGATGAATTCATTTTGTGATGCCAAAAGTGGAAACTAGGTGAAGGAACTATACCTTAAACACCCAAGAACCAGTTTCAGGCCGGTACTCCTTGAATTGGGCTCCCTGCTTCCTTGAGACTGCTTCCAATCTCCCCTCATAATTGATATCAGCAAGTCGATCTGGGCTCTTTATTAAACACCGCGATGTTTTATCTGTGGGCCAAACTCCATCCAATGTAACTTCAGCCTTCCTGTGAAGTATAAACAGGCAAAACAAAAATGATTTATACTTACAAAAGGAAGTGTAACCACTATGGAGGCCTGAGTCTTTCTCTAAAATTTTAATAATACAACTACAATATGACCCAGCTATACCACTCCTGGCTATGTACCTGAAGAACCTTAGACATACAATGCCTGAGATGTGGTTCCAACCTAGGTATCTTATGCATGGAGAAAGAAGTGGTATATACACAAAACGGATTTTTTTCCCCCTCAAAGAAGAAAGAAATCATAGTATTTGTACAAAAATAAAGATCATTACATTAAGCAAAGTAAGCCAAACTCAAATACTGAATGCTTTCTCTCATGTGTAGAATACATATTTAATACATGCATGCAGTGTGTAGGACATGAAAGTAGAAAGAAGACGACAAAAGCAGAGGAAAGGGACTTTTGAGTTCAAGCCCATACAGGGTTGTAGCGTAAGACCCTGTCTAACCTCCATCACACCTCAAGCAATATATGGCAAGAAAATGCATTTAAAAAAACAACAAAGTTTAAAAATATCACACTAAAATAGGTTAAGTGTGCCAGCAGCAGAACAAGAGTAATACAGAAAACACACACACACACACACACTTTTTATGTGGTTGGTGCTCACTCGGTCAGTAAAATTAAACAAAAGCAAAAGAAAATTGTCAGTGTTCAAAGCTCCTGAAAGCAGCACCTGGACACGTTACTATTAAGGAAAAGATGTGAATCCTAAATTTACAGTATATCATTACCACTTATACATTCAAATAAAAGTATAGAAAAAATCCAATTTAGTTATTTTTTATAGGTAAATAAACTCATACCTATTTAGCCCCTCACCCACAGGGGGCTTTTGGTTATCATCTACATAGACAATAACTTCTTTCCTTCGGATATGCACAATATCATCCAAATTTAGATTTGTCAAATTTACATCTCCTTCAAAATAGATGGAGCCATATCCTAAAATTCAGAGCATATAGTTAAAAAAAGATCCTATATAAAGGAGCAAAAACCTCTTTTAATCTATAATGATTAGCAAGGAAGAATATGCAACCTGTAGTATCAATATTTTAAGCCTTCTAAAAATTCATCAAGTGGTTATCTGCCTCCTAAACACAGCAAGGATAGGAAAAGAGGAATGGTGTTACATTGTTATCAGATGCAATACCTCCAGTTTACATTTTTGCATTCTCAAATCTTCCCAAGTATCTGCAATGCTGCTTTATGAACAACTTGGTTCCTAATCTGCCATAAGAATTAAAATACTTAGCCCTTTTAAAATACAGAATCATGGCTGGGTGGAATCCAGCACTCCAGAGGCAGATTTGGTCATACAACATCACAAAGTAAATTTATTAAAAAAAAATTACTGCAATAATTTTGTAATATGAAACTGAACCAAAGTATTAAACTTGGCATACCTTGAAGCTTCTTTAATTGTAAAGAATTATAACAAAACAAATAATTACAAGACCCAAACAGGTATGTCTAAATCCCCAAATGCTACATGGTTCTAGTCCTCCATGCTTTGTTGCTTGTCAGTGTTTCTATTTCAAGGAGGAGCCAAATATAGGAAAAACAGACCCTAAAATCAAGTGCTGCCCTTACTTACAAAATCAAGATGCAATCTGAATTATATTCTCACACCTAAACTCACACATACCTTTACGACCAATGGTGAAATCTGAAACAATGCATTCTCCCTTTTCATTCGTAATTTTAGCAAGGTCATCCATAGATGGAATAGTATAGTAACCAACTTTTGTGAGAACAATGCCTGCAACCAAAAGTCAGAAAGTACTGTAATTATCCTGGGGAGGACAGTTCTTAGTAATTTTACTTTCATATAAAACTTTTCTATAGAAAAGCTGGGCAATAGTAGTGCATACCTTTAATCCCAACACTCAGGAGGCAAAGGCAGGTGGATCTCTGAGTAAGATCAACCTATTCTACAAAGAGAAACACTGTGCCAAATTAAAAAAAAAAAAACCAAAAAACAAAACAAACAAACAAAATCTATGGAACAAGTTTTTTTTTTTTGTTGTTGTTGTTTTAAATTTTTCTTGAGACAAGGTCTAATTCATCACAGTCTGGCCTTAAACTGACTATGAGACTGTGAAGCTGAGATTGTGAGTCTCTAAGTCTCCTGACTCCACCTAATGAGATGCAGATGCAGAAAAATCCAGAGTTTTGAGAAAGAGAGAGCAAGACTCCAATTCCAATGTCCCATGAAAGAAAAATTAAAAACATTTAAAACGTGATGAAGTCTACTTAACCTTTGCTAATCTAAATTTTTTGTTTTGTGGAGACAGGGTTTCTCTATGAAACATTCCTGGATGTCCTATAACTCACTCTGTAGACCAGGCTTGTCTCAAACCACAGAGATCTGCTTGCCTCTGCCTCCCTGTGCTGGGATTAAAGGCTTTTGTCACCACCACCTGGCTCCCAACCAATTCTTTTCTTCTTCTGCTATATTAATTTATTCATTCTTATTTTATGTACATTGGTGTTTTTCCTGCATGTATATCTGAGTGAGGGTGTCAGATCTTGGAGTTACAGATAGTTGTGAGCTGTCATGTGTGTGTTGGGAACTGAACTCGGGGCCTCTGGAATAGCAGTCAGTGGTCCTAACTGTTAAGCTTCTCTTCAGCTCCTTAAGCTAAAATTTTTAAATTTTATTTACTATAGAGCCCTCTTTTTAGTGGGAAAATTCTATAATGTAGTAGTCAATAGACAATACCACAGTGAGGTCTTACTAATAAACAACCACTTGAATTTATAAGTTACATAGACAGGACAGTCACTTTGGCTGTAAAAAGTGGGCTCCTCTGATCACATCATTAATTATAAAGACAAGTTTAAACTATTTCAAAGTTTAAAACATTTGGTAAAACTGACCTGCTGGGTGTACATGGTAAGCATTATTTTCTATTTCTTCTCGGTCATCTTGTAGTGACTCATCATGGAAAGACGTTTCCTCACTGCTTCCTTCGAGTCCATTGCGCAAAGCAGCACGCATGTTCAAAGCAACAATGGTATCGTCCACACTGCCGCTGCTGTTATTTTTGTTTCCAGCACTCTCTGGGGTTTGAGGAATGGGTTTGGCAATAGGATTAGTGTAAAACCGTGATACAAGAGAATCATCATCTCCATCCTGCTGATTATTCTCATCAACAGGTTTGCTCAGGAAGCTAAATCTGAAAAGAGAGAAAAAAAATATTAATACTTTAGCCCCCAGCAACAGTAACGACAATGACAGCTTAATCTTTATTAAGTATATGACACTATTCTGGATGATTCAATAAAATTAATCCTCATAGTAACTGTGTGAAATACATGTAACTATTGTCTCTAACTTATAAAAAAGAAAATTGAGGCAAGTAACAATAATAGTAATAACCTTGCACAATATCACCAAGTTGGGAGTTCTAACTAGAGGAGAAGAGAAAATGTAGGGCTGGAGAGATGACTCATTAGTTAAGAGTATGTACCGCTTTTCTAGAGGACCTAAGTTCAATTCCCAGCACACACATGGTGGATCACAACTGTTTGTAACTCCAGTTCTAGGGAATATGGTACCCTCTCCTGATCAACTCAGCTACCAGGCACACAAGTCGTACACAGACATACAAGAAGTCAAAACACCCATGCACATAAAATAAAAAACAGGGCCAGGTGGTGGTGGTACATGTCTTTAATCCTAGCACTTGGGAGGCAGAGGCAGGCTGATCTCTGTGAGTTCGAGGCCATCCTGGTATATAAGAGCTAGTTCCAAAATAGCTAGGGCTGCATAGAGAAACCATGTTTTGGAAAAACAAAACAAACAAACAAAAACGTAAGAAAACCTAGCTCTAGATTTAATGACCTTAACTGTTCATTTTCAAAAGAATGAATCTGAACACTGTCCTCTTGCTGTGTGGGTGTGTTCTTGGGGTGAATTTAGGTCATCAGGCTTGATGATAAAAGCTTGTACACCTTGAGCCATCCCACCAGCCTGTCAAATCTTTTGACTAAAACAAACACAAAAAGTATTTGCTACTATGTGAAAATAAATGATTAGTGGTTAATGTCAAGATAAAAGAGTGAGAAATTTTAACTGGTTGGAATGATGACTCAGCTTTTATAAGCACTTGCTGCTGCTGTTCCAGAGAGTCCCAGGGTTTGGTTCCCAGCACTCACAAGGAAGCTATCAATGGCTTTAACTCAGTTCCAATGGATCCCAAATGACACCCTCTATGGCCTTTCCAAACACTGCATGTATACAATGAACATATATATTTGTAGGCAAAAGATTCCTATACAAAAATTTAAAAATCTCAAAATTTGAATTTAAACTTTAATATTACAACCGCAAAGTTTGGAAATATTTTAATGATATGAAATTATCATTTAAAAAGCCCACTATTTTGAATAAAAGAATACCAAATAACCTCTATATATTCACTAATGGAGAACTAATTAAATTATCTTATATTCACCACAATGACCAAACCATTAAGAATTAGGGCATGGTGGAGCATATTAAAATCCCAATACTCGGGGAGGCAGATCTCTGTGAGTACAAGGTCTGCCTGATTTACAGAGGGAGTTTCAGGACAACCGCGGATACATAGAAAAACCCTGCCTGGAGGGGGGAAGTTTTCGGAGGTAGGACTGGCAAGATGGCAGAGGGTAAAACATAGACTAAAAGACCCAAGTTTAATCTCTGGGACCCACATGGTGGAAAGAGAGAATCAATTGTTGTGGAATATCATTTTAACTGTATAAAGAAAGGTATATTGCATTTGTTTCTGCTTTGACTAAATAAAATTAACCTGGGGTCATGAGGCTGAGTCAGCAACTAGTTGACAGGAAGTGGTAGGAAGGAACTAAGCCTAGCGAGGGTTCTTAACTGGGAGCTGAGCATAAATATGGTCCCTCTTTTGGGAGATGCACAAGCAAGTAGGGGTTAGCTACTTGTTATTCAGCCTCTCTGAGCTAGCAGGATTTCAAGTCTACCTTTGTACCCAGAGTTCTGTAGGACAGAGATTAAGATAAAGTTTCCTTTAGTGGCCTTGGTAGAGCCAGTGCCTGAGAGAACAGATTTCCCACCTGGCAGCTTCCCAGTTGCAATTGTAGGTTGGGACAGCAGTTGCTTAAGGTGTAGTCACTGTATTGAATGCAAAACAAAAACTAACTCTACTCCTGGAATTGTAAATGCATACCAACATCACTGGCTATTTCATTCATTTATTCTGTTTGTATAGTTAAGACAGGGTCTCTCTACACAGCTGTGGCCATCCTGAAACTCCCTATGTTGACCAGGATGTCCTCAAACTCAAAGATCAACTTGCCTCTGCCTCCAAGTGCTAGGACTAAAGGTGTGCACCACTATGTTCAGCCATTTTTTTTTAATTTAAAGATTCACTGATACAATGTTTGAGTACTTTGTCTGTATGTATCAGGAGCTACTGAGTACCTGCCTCAGCACTCTCTCAGGGTTCAGAACAGGACTTCTACGACAAATGGAGACTGGCTTGGGAATGGGATCTGAGGAGAATGAACTGACTGACTTAGGCACAATTTTTCTACTCAAGTTTCTTAATACCTTAGGGGAAGATAATCAAGCATAAGGGCACATAAGGGCAAAGCATCAAGCATAAGGGTAAGGGCATAAGGAAGGCTAAGGACAAGGCATCAGACAAGGCATAAAGGTAAGGGTAAAGCTAAGGGTAAGAAAAAAGAGGTGATCTCCACCGAGCTTTCGGTTTATATGGGCAGACAGACAAGCTAGCAATCCCATAGATGGTAACAATGGTATCAAGCATGCATTTCACAGAGTCACAAGAAACCAGTGAATCTGACAAAGAGGCACAGAGTGGGTGTGGCTGTGAAGTTCCCATGTGGCAGGGAACACAGCCTTGGTAGTTATATTGACCTGTGGGATTGATTTGTATTAGCATCTAGCTGACTGAGTTAAAAGGAACCTCTTCTGGGGACCCTGTTTTTGACTCCAGCAAGGTGCCCAGGCAAGAACTTTTCTCTCTGAAGGTAATTTTACAACTCAGGCCTTTTTCCTGTATAAACAGTTAAATTCCTGGGCTGTGACATTTTAGTTGAAACTAAGGAAAGGGGTAAATACAGAGTATTAGTAGCCTATTAAGCCAGACCAGAAGACCAGTAGATTACCTTCCTGAGTCTGCAACTAGACATATTACTTCCTGTGTGTGTGCCTCGCAGAGCTCCAATAATTTTAAGGTTTAAAGTACTCAAGAAGTAGCCAGGTGGTAGCGGCACTCACTTTTAATCCCAGCACTCAGTAGGCAGGCAGGTGGATCTCAGTGAGTTCGAGGCCAGCCTGGTCTACAAAGCAGGTTCTAGCACAGGCAGGACTATCACAGAGAAACCTTGTCTCGAAAACCAAAACAACAACAACAACAACAACAACAACAGTACTCAAGAAGTAATAACATGGGCTGGAGAGATGGCTCAGTGGTTAAGAGTGCTGGCTGTTCTTTCAGGGGTCCTGAGTTCAAATCCCAGCAACCACATGGTAGCTCACAATCATCTGTAATGAGATCAATTGCCCTCTTCTGGCATGCAGGCATACATAGAGGCAGAATGTTGTGTACATAATAAACAAACAAACAAACAAATAAATAAATGGATGAATGAATGAATGGATGGATGAATGGCTGAATGAATAAATAAATAAATAAATCTTTAAAAAAGAAGTAATAACATAACATCTAGGTGCCCCTGAACTATATGTTACTTCTATTTTACCATTCATCAATCTCTATAAAGTAGAATCTTTGAAAACGAAACAGAACTATTAGGAGGAATATTTACAAATAGAATTCAGCTTACCGCTCTCCATTTTCTGGATACTCAGATGGTGAAGCTAGGTCTTCTGAATCATGGTTAACAGGAGAAAAGAGATTGCTATTGTTAAGATTTTTCAAAACCAACTTCTTGATGCTCTTTCTAAAAGTAGAGACCAAAAGAAATAGAAATAATTTAACATGTACTCATGTGTACCAAACATTGTTTTAAAACCTGGAGCACTCTTGTATACTCAAAACTCTCCTAATAAGCTGCATATATTAATTTTTTTTAAGACAAGCTTTTTCTGTGTAACAGTATTGACTCTCCTGGAACTCGATCTGTAGATCAAGCTAGCCTTGTACTCACAGAAATCTGACTGTCTCTGCCTCCCAAGTGCTAGGATTAAAGGCATGTGCCACCACCGCTGGGCTGCATATAAAAATTTTTTAATTGTGTAATCACATCATACAGTCTCAGATATATTGTACTTATATTGAACAATAAAGCTGAGAAGATCCAGATTAAAATGGAAAATATTCTTAAAGTTGAGTGTATGGTACACATTTTTAATCCCAGCATTCAAGAGGCAGAGGCAGGCAATCTCTGTGAGTTATAGGTAAGCTTGGTCTACATAATGAATGAGTTCTATGATAGTCTGGGCTACATAGAAAGACCTAGTCAACTTATTGCACCCACCCATGCGGGGTGGGGTGGAGAGTGTCTATATACTGCTCTTGTAGAGATCTCTGAGTTTGACTCTAACTCCCATCACAACAGGAAGCTCACAACCATATATAATTGCCTGGATTTATAAAGACTCCCTACCTTTTCTGGACTCTGAGATCACTTGCACTCAAGTACACATAACACATACACACACTTTTAAATATAATAAAAATCCAAATATTTTTAAATGACTAAGTATAAGCCCAAAAGTAAGCCAGCAAACAGCATCCCCCTAAGAGTTCTAAGTCAAGTGCCTACCTTGGATTTCTGCCCTGACTTCCCTCAATTATGGGAGTATAAACTAGCCGTGTAAATCAAGTAAATCCCTTCCTTGCCTAAGGTGCTTTGGGTCAGCATTTTACCACAGCAACAAGATGGAAAGTAGAACAGTATCAAAGCTCATTTTAACTACACACAAGCATATTATCTTTGCCTTCAAAAATCACTCGTAATACAACATATAAAACACATTTTATATTTTGGGCTAAAACAATTTCCCTCATTGGGATGTGTGCATGAAGAAGGCAGTTAGGTCTTAGATGTCCAGCGTTACCACTTTCCACCTTATTTTGTTGAGACAGTGTCTTTATTTATCTTGGAGATAAGCAGACAGATAAGAAAATAACAGCAATCCATTTGTCTCTACCACTACAATGTACAGATTTTAGACAAGTATGTGATCTTCTATGAATGGCTTCTTAAGTGGGTGCTGGGGCTTTGAGTTCAGATCCTCATTCTTGTACAGCAAATGGTCTTCCCAGTGAACCATCTCCCTAGTTCTTGACCCATATAAAGATTTTGGTCAGGCGGTGGTAGTGCCTTTAATCCCAGCACTCAGGAGGCAGAAGCAAGCAGATCTCTGTGAATTTGAGGACAACCTGGTCTACAGAATAAGTTCCAGGACAGCAAAAGCTACACTTAAGCAACCTTGTCTTAAAAACCAACAAAAAAGAAAAAAACAAAACAACAACAACAACAAAAAAAAATCACCACCACCAACAAAAATTTAGCTTTATTCATTTTATGTGTATGATGTTTCGGCTGCACCATGTGTGTGCCTGGTGCTCATAGAAGGTCAGAAGAACATTTTTGACCCTCTGGAACTAAAGCAAAAAATGTTTGTGAGACACTGTGAGGATGATAAGAATTGAATTCAGGTCCCCTGCAAAAGCAAGAGCAACAAGTGCTCTAAACCACTCTAGGCTGACCCCTGTGCTCCTTTATATTTGGGTTATTCTTGGGGGGTGGGGGGCGGGGGAGAAGATGGCTGTGGGAAGGGACTCAAGTTTCTCTGTGCAGCCCTGGCTGTTCTGTAACTCACTCAAACTCAGAGATCCGCATGCTTCTGCTTGTGGAATACTGGGAGTAAAGTATGCACCACCACTGCCTGGCCTATTTTTTTTTTCCCAAGACATGTGTTTTCTGTGTTGCCCTAGCTGTCCTGAGAACTTATTCTGTAGATATTCTGTAGACCAGGCTGGCCTTGGAACATGGGCATCTACCTGTCTCTGCCTCCTGGGTGCAGGGAATGAAGGTGTATGTCCCCATACTATTTTCCTAACACAGCTATTTTTTTTGTTTTTTTTTTTTCAAGACGGGGTTTCTCTGTAGCTTTGGAGCCTGTCCTGGAACTAGCAATGGAAGATCACCAGGCTGGCCTCAAACTCACAAAGATCCGCCTGCCTCTGGCTCCTGAGTGCTGGGATTAAAGGCGTGCACCAACAACACCCGGCTTGTTTGTTTTTTGAAACAGGGTTTCTCTGTATAGCTTTGGAGCCTGTCCTAAAACTCGCTCTGTAGACCAGGTTGCCCTGCCCCTGTCTCACAAAGCTGGGATTAAAGACATTCACCACTACTGCCTGGCTCCTAACTCACATTTATGAAAAGGAGCTGTAATAAACTTAACATTTGCTGTGGCACATGCCTTTAATCCTGCAGAGGCAGGTCCTTCGATGTGAGTTCCAGGCCAGCCTCATATAATGAGTGAATTTCAGGACAGCCAAGTTACACAGAGAAATCCTGTCTCAAAAACCAAACTTAGTATCATTCATAAACAAAGAATTGTAAGTAACGAATTAAAAACAAAACCCACCCTTTACTGATTAAAAAAGCTACTACCTTTTTCAAAAATGTGTGTGTGTGTGTGTGTCTATCTAAAATAAACGTCTCAGAAATGAAATGCTCTGTCTCCTGATGCCAATAATCTGCTATGTAATTTTCTTCAGGTCCTTTCTCATCTCAACACTCTAAGACATTATTGATGTGGATTTCTCCTATGCTTAGGAATAGCACTTCCGTATTAGTTTCCTATCTTATTATTTTCTAATTATTCACTATTAGTTCTGTATTTACAAACAATACCTATGTGGCAAATCAGAAAAGAAATACAGATTCTTCTTAACCTGTTCTTTAATATTTTTTAAAGAAAATCTTTATTATACTGTTAGGGATCCAAAGAGGGCCTTATACATGCTAGGCAAGTGCTCAACCATTGAGCTTGATCTCTAGGTCTTGACCATTTGAGTAGTAAAATACAAAGGTAATAATTTTGCAAAAAAATAGAAAATAAAAAATACGAACATGTAAAATTAGAATCACATTCATCAAAATAATTATCTGAATGATTTACCTTAGAATAATTAAAATAGGTTTTATTGCTTAAATACCTGTATTTCTTAATATACTTACTTGGGCATGAATGCTCCATTGGCTAAGGATGGTTCATCATCATCCAGTCCATCAAACAGATGTGATTTGGCTGTACCAGTTGTTTGCAAAGCCTTTGGTCTGACTCTGGTGGCAGGGCGAGGTGTAAGTTTATAATGAGTAGGTGTGGTAAGAGCCTTCTGAGCTGCTGGATTGGTTGGTTTCAGCCTCTGAAAAGGAAAAGAAAAGCATCAAGGAAGCTTGATATGGTAGTTTACATCAGCAGTTGGTAGACTAAGGCCAGTCTGATTACAGAGAAGCCCAGACTTGCCAGGTCTACATAGCAAGGCATTGTTTCACTGTCTCAAAAAGAAGCAGAGGAATGTTACAGTTTACTTCAAATGTGTGGCATGGATTTAAAAATATGAAAACTAGTCCAGGCTAGGGACTCACATCCTACTCATCTCCCGTCCCCCACATTTTGAGACAGGTCTCTCTAAATAGTTTTATCAGCTTGTATCTTGCTACTTAGAACAGGATGGCCTTGAACTCTTTGCCTCTCCAGTGTAAGGATTCTCCAGTGTGAGGATTAAAGGCGTTTACCAAGTTTGGTTTTCACACCTAATCCCAGCATTTAGGAGATAAAGTCAGGGGGACAGCAAATTGAGGCTAGACTAGGTTAACCAAATTTCAAACCTCATCTTTTGCTGAAGTATCAGCTCTCTTAGCCAAGGACAGTAACACCTAATATCGTGATCTGGGCTGATGAATACTTAGTAGGTAAAAGAACCTAAATCTGGTAATTGGAGCTTGGATCCAGGAACCCACACCGTGGGAAAAAAGAACCAACTCTTGAAAGTTATCCTTGGATACACAGGCACAACTGCAAATACACAAATACATAATCCCACAAACATGAACATAAATGCCAAAGGCACACAAAAAGATGTTTTCATGCCCTTTTGTAATTTAGTGCCTTTGTTAAGAATATCTTAATTTCTATATTATACTTCAAGAGAAAAATATCACCTCCTCTTGAAAAGTCTCATCAAATTTACGCAACTACCTATTTACCAATCTTCTTATCACATCTAAAAAGTTCTGCTTGTTTTTGAGAGGCTAGCCTGAAGCTTATTTTCTAGCCTCCTGTGTGCTGCAACTGGTGTGCACCACCCATCATACAAGGCATATATTTAAAAACTTGTATCAATGCTCTCATAACATAAAAATTTGTCATTTAATGTCTATAGCTGTCCAAGTTCATTTCTGTTGCTAAAACACTCTGCCAAAAGCAACTTAAGGTAGACAGGCTTGTTTTAGCTTACGATCCCAGATTCTAGTACACCTAGCTGGGAAGTCAAGGCGGAAACTCGAATCAGCTGATCACCACATAGTCACAATCAAGAACAGAGAGGAATAAATTCATCTATGTCCAGTACTCTTAGACAGTCCAATGCTCTAAATTGAGGAATGACGCTGTCCACTTTTAGGCTGTGTCTTTCCATATCAATTAAGGCAATCAAGACAACTGCCTTGCTGTTAAGTCTACAGGTTAAACTTATCTCTGATTGAGACTCTCACTGAGACTCGATGCTTTTTGAGACACGAGATTTTTGCAAGCTGATTCTAGCATATTTCTGTCACTACAAAGATACTCTGTACATCCTCTGTACATCCAAATTCTTCTTCATCCCTTGAACCACAAGTCCACTTTCTCAATGAATTGTGAATCTATCAATACAAACAAATCATAAAGCAACATTCTGGCTTCTTTCACGGCATACTTTCAAGGTTTACCCATTTACTCTGCTCCTTCCAATGGATAGCAATATTTATTATATAATGTTCTATTTACTTACTTATCAAAAAATTGGTTCCTCTATTATTCCATCTACAATATTGAGCTACAGTAAACTTAAATTCTCAGAGGTAAGCTCCCTTATAAGCTCATAAAGCTCCTTCTCTTGTTTTGCATCCTTAGTATTAAACATGATGCCTATCTTACCATACTTAGGCATCAGGCTGCATTGACAACAAAATATTCATCTAATTACAACTTAGATTGACACAGTACCAAAGTACTAGGGAGATGATTCAATCAGTAAAGTACTTTCCTTGCAAGAATAAAGGCCTGAGTTTGATCTCTAAAAGCCACATTAGAAAAGCCTTCATCCCAGCTCTGGAAAATTGGAAACTAAAGAACTCCTACATCAGAACCAACTGTTTATTCACCAAATCTTCACTTCTACTTCTCCCAAATGTGAAATATCAAAATGCAATGCCAATATACTTGGAAATACCTGTTAACTGTGGTCCCTTTGATAGATAAAACTCATTTTTAGTCTCTCTTAAGAATAATAAAAAAAATACCTCTTCTTTCTTCTTAGGATCCGACATAGGATTCCGGAAGAGAGGGGAGTCTCCAAAGGGTGAGTATGTGAGACTATTGAGGTGCTGCTGGAGAACAGCCTGCTGGGCAGCAGAAGCATTTGGATCTGTCAAAGCTATTCAAAAAAGAAAAGGATGGGGGTGGGGAGTTAAGTTCAAGGATCCAACACATTAGTATCAGAGAACTCTTTAAAGAAATGAAATCTTTAAATGTTCAGACCCACTCAATGGTATTGAGAGCAAACTAAAAGCATAAAACCATGAATTAAACAAAAGTAAGCAAAAATATGGAGAGCCATTTATTTCATAAGAAATATTACTTAAAAATTCACTATTAATCAAATACGTGTAAATTAAAATAGCCTATAAAGACTGCTTTGTACTTATCTGCCAACAGCACACATTACAAAACAGTTATAGTTTTGATCTCTAAAACAAAAGTCAATTTTATGGCATATCCTTATAAAGCCCAGCATTATACAGGCTAGGACACAAGAATCAGGAGTTCAAGTCTAGTCTAGATGACAACAAAGTTCTAGGCTGGCCAGCTAAGTTAATTTTCTCTCAAGGCTTAAGGATGAATATTTCCTACCAGGCAGTGGTAGAACATGCCTTTGACTTCAGCACTGGGGAGGCAAAGGGGAGCAGATCTCTGTGAGATTAAGACCAGCCTGGCCTACAGAGTTAGTTCCCGGCTACACAGAGAAACCCTGTTTCAAAAAAAACCACAACAAACAAAAAAACTAAAACAAAAACCAAAATAGAACATTTCCCATCAGCCACAGAAAATTCAGAGAACAGACAAAAGCAACAATAAAGATTATATTCATAATGTACAAAAATGTCATGTATAAAAAAATAGTAAAACCAGTGTAGTATACTTCTAATGATAAAGAATCTGATTTTCAAGAGAATCATTCCAAACATACTTGTCAAAGATTAAATCACCAAACATCTGAGCGAAAATAACTTTTCCTCTTACAAAGATTTAGAAATAGGCAAAAGTCAAAATATAGTAAGAATGCATATCAACACTTCTCATATCAAAACTCTACGTTCTCATAATGGGGAAAATGAACGCAGCAGCAACACCAGAATGGGGAGTTAGAGTTAAAAAAACAAAACAAAAAACTCATAACATAGTAGATCCATCTTAGTCAAACAAATTGTTAAAACTGGATGAATGCAGTCAGGCTTGATGCACAAACCTGTAAACCTATCAGGTGGAAGGCTTAAGGATTGCTGAGTTTGAGGCCACTTGGGATAAAGAGAAAGAGACCCTGTCTGAAACACACATAAAGCTATGCAATGTACAAAACTAAAAAAGAAGTTAATTACTGTTGCTATTAAAGGAATAGTATAAAATGGTCAAGAATTTGAGATCCAGAGGGGATAATAGTAAAAGACCATATAGTAAACCATCTGAATTCAGAAAAGTCACTAAAACAATTTAAGACTACAACAAAAGTCAGCCATGGTGACACATGACTGTAATTCTTCTACTTGGAAGGCTAAAGAAAATGGAGGTGTGAGTTCAAGCAGGCAGTGGTGGTGTATGCCTTTAATCCCTGAACTCAGGAGGCAGAGGCAGGAGGATCTCTGTGAGCTTGGTCTACAAGCTAGAGAAACCCTGTCTGCAAAAACCAAAAAAAGAAAATAAAGAAAAAGGGGCAAAAAAAAAAAAAAAGATCCTGTCACAAACAAATGATAATTAAAAAAAAGAATACATATAAGCAAAAAAAAAATATGAATTACTTCTGTAACACGGCATCACCAATAAACAAAACAGTACTATTGTGTGAAGTTAGGCAAGGAGACTAAAGTTTCAGAAACAACAACCCCTTTGGTCCTGGGGATTGAAGCTAGGGTCTCATACATGCTAGGCAAAACACTACCAGGGTGCTATCCTTACCCAAAAAATTCATCATTTTCTTACTTGACAATCACATATCCCAGAAAAAAAAAAAACAAAAACAAACTGATCTCTTAAAAACTGACCTATGAGTCACACTAAGTGGACCAGCTCATAAGAATAAAAAACAAGGGGCTGGAGAGATAGAGCAGCAGTTAAGAGAACTGGCATTTTTCCCCAGAGAACCCGGGTTCAGTTTCTAGCACCCACACAGTGACTCATAACCATATCATATGTAACTATGATAGGGCATCTGACGCCTTTTTATGGCTACTATGGGCAGGAGGTATACAGAAATGCATGCAAGCAAAACACCTATTTGCATAATTGCTTAAAAATCATCAACAAACCCAAGCATATTTAGGAAAATTTGTTTTACATTGCAAATATGAAAACTTCTCTGTATCACCCACCCACCCCAAAAAAGATATAGGGTCTGGAGAGAAGATTCAGCAGTTAAGAGCAGATATTGGTCTTCCAGAGAACCAGAGTTCAGTTCCTAGCACCCATATTAGGCAGTACACAAACACCTGTAATTTCCATTCCAGCAGATATGCCTCTTCTGGCCTACTTGAGCAACCATACACACTTAGTATACACTGGCACTAGCAGACAGACAGACACACAATTAAAAATAAAACGTCTTAAAATAAAAGGTATGTATGGGGGATATGGCTCACTTGCTACTCTTACGGAGGACCTGAGCTCAGTTCCCAGCATCCACTTGGTGACTTAGAACCATCTATAAGTACAGTTCCAAGGAAACCAACACCCTCTTCTAGACTCTGCAGGCAGCAGGTTCACACATGGTACACATACATCCATACAGCAAAACATTCATACACATAAAATAATCTAAACATTTTTTTGAAGATACAGATAAGAAAGCTGCCATGTGAGCAAAATTTAGTGAATAAATACTAGTGAAACTACTACTGGTATTAGATTTTAGTCGTAAGAATTTGAAAACATATCAAAGAGTTAAATTATGACCAAATCATTTAAGGGGTTGAAAAAACAAAATCATGCCTTTTTAATGACGGAGAAATTTTTTCTTTTTCTGTTTTGGTTTTTTTATTGTTGTTGTGACAGGATTTCTCTGTAGCTCTGGCTGACTTGGAACTTGTTCTTAGACCAGCCTAGCTTCTGCTTTCTGAGTACTGGGAAAAATAGTTCTAGCACATCAATTCTGCTTGGAGTTAGGAAATAAAATGCAACATTTGGGTAAAAATTTCTAAAGAGACAAGTTTCGATTATAATGAACCAAATGAGGACACTGCACTAGAACCTACAGGGATGGCAGCACAACAAAACTGAGGGCGAGACCTCTCCAAATAATGGCTGAGTATAACAAGTCTAGCACCTTTTAATTAAGATTTTATTTTGATATGAAGGTAGACATTCTAAAAGTTAATAATTTTTAAATGGGCAATAATGTACACCTGCATGTCTAACATTCCCAGCACTTAACAGGTAGAGATAGCGAAGATCAGGAGTTTAAGGCCAGTCTTTGTTACACAATATGAGTTACATATGATCATCTCAAAAATAAGGGGGTTGGGGAAACAAAACACCAGATTTATTCAAGTAGGACTAAAACACAACAGAAGAATAAATGTATAATCCATAGGAGAGTCCATAGAGGAATATAACTCAGCTGGCAGCTTGTCGACTTTCTATAAAGTTCTTGGTCTGGTTGATCCCTACACGACAGTATCAAAAGGGTAGAGTGGCACACTCCTATAATTCAAGTACTGGAGATTGGAGGCTGGCGGACTACCTATTAAACTATTCACGGTCACTCTCCTAACTTCCCTGATACTCAACAGATAGACTACACAGTCACAGAGCATGAAATAAGCTCATGGAAAGAACAGAGAAATGGTATTATCCATCATCTGAGAACTAATATTCTATCATTTACGGAACTTTTGAGTATCTGTTTTAAGACGACAAATTGAATAATGAAAGATGCTGGCAAATACAAGCACAAAGTTGCCAGTGAGGTTTAAGTATTTTATTTTTAAATGTGAAATGGAAAAGATCACAAAGCAGGATCAAAATTTAAGCAATCCTAATAAATTAAGGAACAAAAGGTACCTGAAATTTTTTTTTAAATTTATTTATTTATTTAGTATACAATATTCTGTCCCAGGCCAGAAGAGGGCACCAGACCTCATTACAAATGGTTGTGAGCCACCATGTGGTTGCTGGGAATTGAACTCAGGACCTTTGGAAGAGCAGGCAATGCTCTTAACCGCTGAGCCATCTCTCCAGCCCGAAAATTTTAGTATAAACTAGCAAATCCAGAGTTTCAAGAAAAATCAAAATCTAAAATCAGATGCCTGAAAAGAGAAGTATTCAAGAAATCCTTGGGGTTCCTTTGACTATTATAGGGACCTACGTAACTGAGGATGGCTCTCAACTTGCTAGGCAGCTAGAAATACCTTAAATTCTAGATCCTTGCGTCTCCTCAAGTGACACTTATAAGTGGGTGCCACACTGCCTGGCTTTCAAAATATTTTTAACACAAGAACAGAAGACTAAGTGACACGACATATCAACTATCAATATAAATACAGGGGGCCGGAGAGTTGGTTCAGCAGTTAAGAACACTTGTTGCTCTTACAGAGGACCCAGATTCAATTCCCTGCACCTATATGATAACTCAGAACTGTAACTCCAGTGCCAGGGGATCCAATGCCCTTTTCTGATCTCCTTGTGAACCCAGTGCATACTTGGTATACTTACATACATGCAAGCAAAATATTAATACACATAAAGTAGTGTCTAAAAATTTCAAATATATTTCCATACTTGAAAAGAAGAAAGGGGGAAAGAGAAGACTAGGGAAGGGCACTGATAACTCACTTGATAAAGAGAATTAAGGAAACTATCACTTAGTGGACAGAATCAGTACACACAGCTTAAATGTATAATGATCTCAAAATGTAGTACAAGTGTTGGGAGAAAATAGTCATATAAACTCATTCCTGGCTGAGCAAGATGGCACGTGCCTATATTTGGGAGGCAAAAGAAGGCCTGTTCTACAGAGTGAGTACTAGGACAGCCAGAGCTACACATAGAAACACTTCTAAAACTAACAACCGAAGAACAAAAACAAAATCAAACCTCCTTTTGGGGGCCAGAGAGATGGTTCAGCATTTAAGAGCACTGGTTCTTCCTACAGAGGACTTAGGTTTGGTTCTCAGCACCCATAGGGTAGCTCACAACTACCTTCAATTCCAGAAAATCTGATGATCTTTTCTGGCCTCCACAAGCCCCATGCACATACAAGGTATATGGGTATATGCAAGTCAAATATGCATGCACATAAAATAAAATTATAAAGTCTTTAAAAAAATCCAACTAATTTCCTTCTAACTCGCACTATTACTGCCAGGTGATACTAGATTTTCTAGTGACACACAGTTTATATAGATATTTTAACACTAAGATAACTTTTTGTTAGAAATAAGGTGGAAGATACTATAAAAACTAAGGAAGTATATTCACATGAATGAAGTACATAAAATATCTCAACTGATAAAAAGTAAAACTTAGGAAAATTAGTGATTGTAGAACATTAACACTAAGGGAATAAACAAAACAATAGAGATAAGTGAACTAACACCTTTATTTTTAATAAGTTAAATTTATGTATATTAAAACAAAACACAGCATACGAACACATTACATAGTGAAATAAACTTCATCATATGCTAAATAAAGTTAAAATAATAACAAAATGATTTCTAAGGAGACCAAGCCTAGGAATGAGGTGACAAGGAAGGCCAGAGTCTAAACCCTTCTATATTACATGGGTGTTTAATGATGTGCATATGCACACTGTTTTAGTAGAGATTTTAGTAGAGAGGGACAGTAAAAAAAAAAATCAAGTCAGCAAGCTAAGTAATTAGCAAGAAATAAACTGTAAAGCCTTCTAAAGTGACTGGCACTTACCTACTGGGGCCTGGGGGGCGCCAAAGCCCAAAATGGCTGTCGTAGTATTAAATCCAGGGGCCCCAAAGGCTCCTGTGCCAAGAGGCCCTCCAATCTTAGGTTGGCTGTTTCCAAACAAAGATGCCTGTCCAGCACCAAGAGCTATGGAGACAAGAGGAAAGAACAAGTGCCACAGAAGATCCTTTGACTACTGTGCAGCGGTCAGTTACTTAGAGATACAATACATTGGAAGTTCATCAGGAGCAGTCATTCGAGGAAAGCACTACTGCGGTAGACACTGACTCACACCAGGCACTGGACTGGGTACAGCAGAGGCAAAACCATCATTCACTGTGTTAGTTCCCTCAACTACAACACGTGACAGATAACTTATGTTTCTAATAGTTAAAATGAATACATTTCTCATTGCATTTCCAAGAAACATGGTATCTATCAAACACACAGACTATTAACTGATATATCTAAAGCAGGAGTACTTGTTCCATTTGAGAGCAAAGTTACAAAAGTTGTGATAGAAAAAAGGGTCAGAGCTAGCTATGTCTGACAGAGTCACCAAGACATCAACATTAACTAAAACTCTACTAAAACAGATTTAATTAATTAAATTAAAAAAAAAAACAGTTCCATGTGTATTTTAGTATTTACAAATCAATATACTTAATTGATCCAATCACAATGCCAGTTTACAAAAATGATTTTTATGTGTATGTGTGTTTTGCCTTGCCATGTGTGTCTATGCAAGTCTGGTACTCATGGAAGTCAGAAGAGGTCATCAAAAATCCTGCAACTGGAGTTGCAGATAGTGGAGAGCTGCCAGGTGAGGAACTGGGAATCAAACCCAGGACCTCTGGAAAAGCAGCAGTGCTCTTAACCACTGAGCCTCAATGTAAACATTTTAAACTGGCATATAAACTATAGAAAATCAAATTATCTCCTTTGAATGGTTAAAAAAGAGTAACACTTTTAATTATATTATAAATCTCCTGGAAACAGCTTTAACCAAACAAACTCGTTTTTCTTCAAAATGCCCAATGTAAGAATTAAAACATATTCAAGTTTTAACAGGAACTAGACTGGTTTGAATAAAAGCCCATTCCTCTACCTAAATCCTGGAATTACAGATATGCACCAGTATTATCTCAGTGGTTATGAGCACTTGTTGCTCTTATAGAGGACCCAGGCTTGATTACAATACCCACATGGTGACTCCACTTAGACTCTCTTTTTGACCTTTACAGGCACTAGTCATGCACAAACATGTATGCAGGCAAAACTCATATACGTAAAGTTATAAACAGATCTTGAAATTTTTTAATGTAGAAGAGAAATTATTTTCTATTTGTAATTATTTGGTGTCTCTGTGTCTGGGGATACAAATTCTACTTAGAGAAAGACTGGTCAATTTAACTTAAACATACAAAAAAAAAAATCTAAAAAAAGACAAAACCCAAAGACCCATGTACTAGACAAATATACTTCTACTGAGGAATGAGTTTGAATCTCCATCACTCAAAAGGAAACTGCAAATGACACCCATTTACCTCATGCTTTCCCCACAAACAGTATTAAGCTCTATAGTGTTAGTTTACATATAATACCGTGAAATGGAAAATTCAAATTTAAGAACATGTTCTTAAAACTCAGTCTGTTTTAGTAAATATAAGTCATAGAATCTATATTTGCTTGACAGCTTGTACTGCACAAATTTCCATATATAATTTATTCCTACTAAAATTCAAAGTGTAAAATTCTTTACTGATTTTGTCTTTTACTTTATTTATATGGAAAAGGCATGAATAAGGAATATATAGCAACAAAAATGTGATCTGTAAACTATGAAGAATAAGGCAAAATATTGAAAGTTAAACTATTAAATTGTGAAATTAAGAGATAATATTAGAAAAATGGCACAGAATATTTTATTATTAATATTTTTTAAACGCAGGGATTCTATTTGTTTGTTTGATGTCCAGTGGTGTTTTGCCATGGGTGAAACATCCTCTGGAACTGGAATTACAGGTAGTTTTGAGCGGCCATGTGAGTGCTAGGAGGTGCTATCTCTCCAGCCCCACTACAGAACATTTTAAAAGCCTGAACTAAAGGCAAAGGACATTGGTAATCATACTCCTCAAGATCTGGATTACATTTCAAACAGAAATGTAATCATACAAGAATCAAACTCAAACATGAGAAAAACTTGCATATAAATAAAATTAAATGACTGACAAAAGAATCTGAATGGAAATACAGATAATTTTGTGACTTTATAATGGTCATATGGCAGAAACAATGCTTTCATTTTTGAGTTTGAAGGTTTTCTCAGTTAATAATATCAAGCTCAGCTATGGGCAAAGCTGTATGCTCCGAGCATGCTTAATGTAATCGAGGAAAAGTTATGACGTTTGGCAGGTTAACTGTATTAAACACAGATTTTCAACTGATGATACAATTATCAAGATGTGACCAAATTATAAGTCACTGGGATACTGCATGGCTAAACTAAATTCTCACCCAAGTCTTATGTTCATTCTCATAGACCCTTTGGAGATAAAAGCACCTTTGGTAGTAGCACTCCTCTGTCATCTAGTACCCAACGGCAGAAGCAGGACAGCAATTGAAGCCCAGGTGTGCTATAAGAGATATTGTTTAAAAATAACAAAGAGTGGGTGGGAATGTAGCTCAGTTGGTAGACCTCTTCTCTAATGTGTATTAAACCTTGGGTTGAATCCCATAGCACCAAAAAACGGTGTGTGGCAGCACAGGCTTGCCATTCTAACATTTGGAGGAGAAAAGTCAGAGGATCAGACTACTCCTTTGAGGGGCTCAGGCCACGGTGATGCACACCTTTAATCCCAGTATTCCAGAGAAAGAAAAAGTAAGACAGGTCTTTGAGTTCAAGACCACCCTGTTGTTCTAGGACAGCCAGAGTTACACAGAGTTGCTGTCTCAAAACAAACAAACAAACAAAAAGAAGCCAGGCAGTGGTGGTGGTACAGGGTTTTAATCATAGCACTTGGGAGGCAGAGGCCAGAGGATCTGTATGAGTTTGAGACTAGCCTGGTCTACAAAACAAGTTCCAAAACAGCAAGCCAGCCAGGGCTACACAGAGAAACCCTGTCTCAAAAGAAAGAAGAGAAGAGAAGAGAAGAGAAGAGAAGAGAAGAGAAGAGAAGAGAGAAGAGAAGAGAAGAGAAAAGAAAAAGGTGGGAGAAAAAGGAAAAAAGGGAAATTCAAAGTGGCTTGTTGTGGTAGAACACATCTTTAGTACCAGCAAGTAACTCATCAACACAGAGCTAAGGAGTAGACTTTGAAACAAGTAACCAAAAATAGCCAAATTATCACAAAGCAGAGGCAGGAGCATAGAGCGTAGACTTTAAAAGCCCTTTTAAGGCCCAGCATGGTGGAACATGGCTTAAATGCTAGCAATCAGGAGGAAGAAACAGGTAGACCTCTCTGAGTTTGAGGCCAGTCTATTTAGGGAGTTTGCAAGACAGCTAAGGGTTACATATTAGATTCTGTCTCAAAATAATTAATTTAAATTAAAATTTAAAGCTAAAGGCTTGCCTGGGGTAAAAGGTCAGTTGAAAGGAATGCTTCCCCAGCAAGTAAAGACCTGGGTTCAACCTCTAACACCCAAAATGCACACTACCCAGGAATCTAAGGCATTATTGCTTGAGACCAGAAGTTCAAAACCAGATTGGGAAAAAATAGTAACACAAAAAGGGGAGGGTGGGTGGAGATAAAATTCTACCAAATAGCAATTAAAAACAATAATATATACATAATAAACATAATTTATGATTTTTGTTTTTGTTTTTATTTATTTATTTATTTTTATTTTCTTCGCTCCCTTCTGCCCTGTTCCATGATCCCCACGCTCCCAATTTACTCAAGAGATTTTGTTTTTTTTCTACTTGCATAATTTATTAAAAATAAGTCATGATTGCCGGGTGGTGGCGGTGGCGCAAGCCTTTAAACCCAGCATTCAGGAGGCAGAGGCAGGGCATCTCTGGGAGTTCAAGGCCAGTCTGGTCTACAAGAGCTAGTTCCAGGACAGGCTCCAAAGCTACACAGAAAACCTGTCTCGAACCCGCTCCCTCCCCCAAAAGGCATGATCAAATACATAGAATAGAAAGATTCAAACAACCAACAGGTTTACATCACTAAACATTGGAATACACAAATTTCCACTACCACATGGGCAAAATGAAGATCAATAAGGGATCTTAGGAATGTTATAAATACTGGCTGTACTTCCAGAGGTCCAAGGTTTGGTTCCCAGCACTCACATGGCAGCTCACAACCACCTTTAACTCTACTTTCAAGGCTCCAGCATAAGTGTCCTCTTCTGGCCTCTGGGAGCACATGCATGCAGGCATACAGGCAAGCGAGACACCCATCCATATTTTAAAAAATTAGAGACCCAATAAGCTCTTGTGATAGCATATGCTATAGTAGTCTCAGCTACATGACTAGAAAGTTCCCAAGCCTGGTAGTTTGCAACCATGCTTTCAAAAAACATAGAAAGAATCATGGACAAACTACAGCTAAAAGGAAAGTGAGATTCCTTTTCAAAAAGAAAAAGCCCAACAATACAAAAAAGGTATGGAAAAAACACAACAAACAAGGTAAAAACTAATAGAAAATGGCAGTTTCTGCAAGACAAATAAAAAGACCAACTAATAATGTGCATCCTCTAGATAGAAATTTTTATGTGTGTTTGTATTTTGTCTGCATGTACACCTGTGTGAGGGTGTTGGATTCCTCTGGAACAGGAGCTACAGACAGTTGTGAGCTGCATGTGGGTAATAGGAAATGAACCCTGGTCTCCTGGAAGAACAGTCAGTGCTCTTAATCGCTGAGCCATCTCTCCAGTACCCCCAATAGCAATTTTAGTTTTACTTATTAATTAAATGGTAACATAAACACAAAGTTAAGTAACAGAAATTTTCATTGAGGGGAATTTGCTATTAATACCAAAAAAATGCCAACAACTGATGGTAGTGGAAAGTAGATAAATTAAATGTGAGATAAATAAAAAGTGAGATATATAAATGTATATGTATACATTTATATACACACACACATATATGGCAAATGCAAATCACACCTTTGTACACACATACATTGAAATATTATTTAAAGCCATTATTTTGAAATGAAATCTATACACATGGACCAAACCAAAATAAGCTGTTAAAATAAAGAAAACACAATGAGATACAAAGCATAGCACACATTTCAAAATTTCAGAAAATGGTTATTATCTTACTATGTACAGTAATTTTCAGATCATTCTCTCAAATCCTGGTGGCAGCCCAAGACAACAATGTATAACAATGACATTTCAGCCTTTGGTCTAAGCTAACCCATAGGTAGTCTTCCCTTTGAGATCCTCCTACTCAGCTCTCACTTTTCCTTAATAAATCTGCATTTGCTCTGCTACAAAAACAAAATCCAAAACAAAAGTCACTCATGGATAATGGACTAGTGGAATAGGGTGGATCTGTGGCACAGCATTTTGCTACCATGTATACAACCCTGGCTTTAACCCTCAGTAATATAAAACAGCCCAAGTAAGGCACAACTAAATATGCCACTAATATCCCTAGATGTCTGTACAAATGAATGTGTGTAAGCATAGTTGAGTATGGTGATCCACACCTTTAATCTAAGCACTTGGGAGGCAGAGACAGGTAAATCTCTGTGAGTTCAAGGCAAGCCTGATCAACAGAGCAAGTTCTAGGCCATCCAGATTTACATAGTAAGACTCTGCCTCAAAAGCAAAGAAAGTCTCAAAATAAGAAAGAATTAAAAAGGTTAATAGTTCAAACGAGTATAAAGAAAGTCTCTATTAAGGAGATGGCAAAGGAAAAACCATACCACAAAAGAAAACAAAAATCAAGCTGTGGAAGCAGAGATTATGAAAGTAAGTAGTTGCAACTAAATTACTGTACCAAAAATAAGAGAACTAGGCAAAGGAAGAAAATATGTATGCTTAAACCACATTTTGTTATACATTTAGAAATAACCACCTTTAGAACCCCTGCCCAAGTTACTGAAAACAGGAAGACAATATTTTAAATGTACTAAAAATTAGCTATTAATAGGAGGAAGAGGGCTGAAAGATAAAAAAAACTGAAAGGTATGCACAAACCTTGTACAACAGAACATTTCTGTTAATAAGCACAGCATGTATTCTCTAGTCTCTGTCTCACCATGACACTTAACTGGTGAATAATTCCACATCCAAAGCATTCATATAAAGTTAAGAGATAGATAGGGATTTAATATTTACCACTATACTGAAAATTCTCACATTTTAAACTAAAACTTCCAGCTAAAATAGGACTAAGGGGGAACAAACTTATGTGGAAAAGTTAATTTTCCTATAGCTCAAAAATTTACATTTTGTGAACTTAAATACGAAAGCACTAACGTTTTAGGACCTGGTAAAACTTAACTGCTGGAAATGCTTTAATAATTTTATTTGTAAAAATGAATCTAAGCCTCTTATTTATAAGTATATAATTGTAAATTATATTCATAAGATCAAATTGTATTACTTCTTAAAATTCATACAAACACTTTCTTACCTGTTCCAAATCCTGTACCAAGTCCAGTTCCCAGAGTCCCGGGTGCGGGCTTACTTCCAAAAATACTATTCCCACTGTTATTTGTGCCAAAACCTAAGGAGGAAAAAGAATGAGTACATTATAGTTTTAAAACAATTCTCAATTTTCTCTAAAAGGGAATACTAACACAAAAACAATTGACCTTAGGCTTTGTATCCTTAAGTTATTAATACTAATACTTATGAATTGCAAATTATCAGTTACTATAACTTGTTAAAAAAAATTGCAGTTGCAAAGAAGTCTTTATATTTACTTAACTGCTTGGAATAGAGTAATACCCAATAGCAAAGCAAAGTACACATCTTCATGTTTGAACTTTGTCAGGCTGAGTCAGGACATGGTTCAGGCTTACAAACACAAAACTTTATTCCCTGAAACTTTCATTAAAAAATGAAACTGTCAACAAATAAAGTTTATTGAATCTAAAGGAATAGAAAACCCATAAAAATCTCTATAGAAACACAAAGAAACCCTGTCTGGAACCTTTCCCCTATGCGCCCCAAATCTCTATAGCAATCTTTGCTTTAAACTAATAATGGATCTGACACAGACATTAATGTATGGCGGATTATGTGAGGTTCTTTTACAATGTCACACTCAGTTAATTCATACAAACAAAAATGGCTCAACTAGCTACTTTTGGGGGTAGGGAAGTTTTTTAATGAAGGTTTCACAGAACTCGAGCTAGCCTCCAAATAGCTAGGCACTAATAGTGGCTTTTATTATCTCTGTACTTTTCAAGTGTTGGGGTCACAGGTATGCTCCACCACTACTGTCTCTACACTATAAAGAAAAAAGTGACTGGGGCTGGACAGATGCTCAATGGTTAAAGCCAATGACTGCTCACTCTTCCAGAGGACCTGGGTTCAATTCTCAGCACCCACATGGTGGCTCACAACTGTAACTCCAAGATCTGATGTTCTCACAGACATACTTGCAGGCAAAACACCAATGCACATAAAAGGAAATAAATTAAAAAAAAAGTATAACCTCTGAACAGCCTATCTGGAGTGCAACAACTTCTTCCTTTGCCACTCTCCTTCACTCTAACTTGCAATTTGAGAAAATCTTATTAATTCCCCTTTGAAAATCTACAAATATAAAGTTATCAATAGTCTACTACAATTTACTTTTCATTGTTAAGGTAACAAAATTCTAGAATCCCTTTTGAAGACTTATCAACAAAGCAAATCATGAATACATCATTATTCTCTAATGCTAAGAAATAATCATGGGCCTGAAAATTCTTGGGGTTTATTTTTGTTTTGTTTTTCTGAGACAGGGTTTCTCCATGTAGCCCTGGCTGTCCTGGAATTCACCGGCTGGCTTTGAACTCAAAGAGATTCTCTTGCTTCTGTCCTACCCAGTTCCTGGATTAAAGGAATTAAAGATCTGTGACATCACCATGGGGTACAATCTTGGTCTTAAGACAAATGCACTTAAAAACTATCTTGAAAGTTCAATGAGAGGGCTTGTGTTATCAGTTTGCAATGGAAGCTCTTGGAAAGCTGAGGCCATTTATTAGATAGCAAGACTGAAGGAGAAGGAAGGAAAGGTAAAGTGAGTTAGCAGTGTCACTAAGGGGGACTGTAAATATGTCAGGATCTAGCCAGTTATTAACAATAAAAAAAAGGCCATAAAGTCAAAGGAGATAAAGTCTGAAACCAAGCCTATATGGGTCATTTTAAAATCTAAGCATGTAATCTGACTCAATCTCAGCAAGTGAGTCATGTGTTTAAAAGTTTTCTCTTTGCCGGGGGTGGGGGGTGGGGGGGTGGGGTGGTGGGGGGGGGGGGGGGGGGGGTGGTGGTGGTGGCACCTGCCTTTAATCACACCACTCAGGAGGCAGAGGCAGGTGGATCTCTGTGAGTTCGAGGCCAGCCTGGTCTACAAGAGTTAGTTCCAGGACAGCTCCAAAACTAGAGAAACCCTGTTTTGAAGGGGGAAAAAAAAGTTTTTTCTTAAATTGCTTTATATAACACATATATACACATACACAGTTTTGTCAACTCAAACACAACAAATTTTCCTTTAAAAAAAAATGAAAAGAAAGTATTTAAAGATGCTCCTTTTCTTTAACTCAAATTTAACAAAAAGGACCACAGTCTTATACCAGAAAACAAGCTATTCAGGGTCAACCTCAAACCCACAGGAGAGATCTAAGTGCCAACTTTACACTGTTTATACCACACATTTCCTCCATTCTTGCTGACTCTGTTAGTTCAAAACAATTCTATAAAATAAAGATAATCCAAATTCAACATATAGCTAGCTAGTGAAGCAAGCCAGGTAAAGATGATAACGTTCACATTGAAATCAGTGAGCACGATCAAAACAACCTACCAACGATTCAGGTGTGGTGGCATGCATCTTTAATCCTAGGACTTTGGAAGGAAAAAAGTCCTAGGATTTTTTTGAGGCCAGCCTGGTTTAGCCTACAGTCTATACAACAAACTGTAGGCCAAGCAGGTCAGCATAATAATTGTGTCTTAGCCAGGCAGTGGGGGTGCCCGCCTTTAATCCCAAATTCAGAAGGCCAGGGCAGGGGTATCTCTTTGACTTCAACGCCAGTCTAGTCTACAGAGCTAGTTCTAGGACAGACAGGACTAGACAGACACAGAGAAACCCTATCTTAAAAAACAACAACAACAAAAAAGAGTGTCTTGAAACAGAAATACTGCAAAGTATCAGCAATCTGTACAAAAACCAAAAAAAAACCTAAAAAGAAAAAAGAAGATAAGACCACAAAAGAAAATGTTAATTCTGAACATAACCTATATCACAAATAAAGCTTTTTATTAAATAAATGTATTTTCAAAGGAAGTGAAAACTGCCCCTTAGAGAATCTTAATTGTGGATGGTCTTCCAAAGGGCCACTAAAAAACAGACACACAGGACTGAGTCCAGAACAGGGCTGAGATAACAAGCTCCACGGGAGCGGGAGCAGAGGCAGGACTGAGGCAGCCATGAGGCCAGAGCAGACCTGAGACAGCGAACTCCACAGGAGCAGGTACAGATGAGCAACAGTTGAGAGAGTGGGCCTGAGCCAGAGACCACTGCGGGTCTGGGCATGAATCTGGGACCTCTGAGGGAGTAGGCCTGAGCCAGGACCTCTTAAGGAAATGCTCAACATCCTTAGTCATCAGAGAAATGAAAGTCAAAACAACTCTGAGATCCTATGTTACACCTGTAAGAATGGCCAAGATCAAAAACACTGATGATAACTTATGCAGGAGAGGTTGTGGGGAAAAGGGAACACTCCTGCATTGCTGGTGGGAATACAAGCTGGTACAACCCCTTTGGATGTCAGTGTGGCAATTTCTCAGAAAATTAGGAAACAACCTTTCTCAAGACCCAGCAATACCACTTTTGGGTATATATCCAAAGGATACTCAATTGTGTCACAAGGACATGTGCTCAACCATGTTCATAGCAGCTTTGTTTGTCATAGCCAGAACCTGGAAACAACCTTAATGTCCCTCGATCGAAGATTGGATAGGAAAAATGTGGTACATTTACACAATGAAGTACTACACAGCAGAAAAAAATAACGACAACTTGAATTTTGTGGGCAGATGAATGGAGCTAGAAAACATCATTTTGAGTGAGGTAACCCAGAAAGACAATTATCACATGTACTCACTCATAGGTAGTTTTTAAACATAAAGCAAAGAAAACCAGCCCACAAATCACAATCCCAGAGAACCTAGACAAGAATGAGGACCCTAAGAGAGACATACATAGATCTAATCTACATGGGAAGTAGAAAAAGACAAGATCTCCTGAGTAAATTGGGAACACAGGGACCTTGGGAGAGGGTTGAACAGGAGGGGAGAGGTAGGTAGAGGAGCAGAGAAAAATGTAGAGCTCAATAAAAATCAATTAAAAAAAACCACAGAGGGGCTGGAGAGATGGCTCAGTGGTTAAGAGCTCTACTTGCTCTTCTAAAGGTCCTGAGTTCAATTCACAGCAACCACATGGTGGCTCACAACATCTGTAATGAGATCTGGTGCCCTCTTCTGGCCTGCAGGCACACATGCAGAATACTAAGAATACTTTATACATAATAAATAAATCTTAAAAAAAAACAGATACACAGATTACAACATGTATTAAATGTATCTCAGCTGGTAAGCTGAGCTCAGTGGTGTGCACCTGGGAGACTGAGGCAAGAGGACTTCTGGAATCCAGTGGGCAACATGGCAAGAACTCACCTCAACAGGGTGTTAAGGAGAACATCATTGAAAAAAAAAATTTGGTCCAAAACTGGCTGTGGTAGCACTCGCCTCTAATCCCAATACTCAGGAGGTAAAGGAAAGTGGACTTCTAATTGAGGCCAATCTAGTCTATATAGCCACGAACTATACAGAGAACTTGTCTCTAAAAAGCAAAAAGAAGCTGGATGGTGGTGGTGCATGCATTTAATTCCAGCACTCAAGAGGCAGAGGCAGCCGGATCTAAGTGACTTCGGGGCCAGCCTGGTCTACAAGAGCTAATTCCAGGACAGGATCCAAAGCTACAGAGAAACCAGGTCTTGGAAAAAAAAGAGAAAGAGAGAGACATAGTTCTTCATAGGCTCCTTGGAAAAGGGGGCAGCGATAATGATCTTTTAAAAAAGGGAGGAAAGGTCACAGAGAAACACTGATTTTTACCCCCTTAGTTTTAAGGACAGAAAACAAACACAGAAGCCATACTAACTAGGTCCACTACCTCAAAGCTGTTCTTTCAAAAAGAATTATGAGTGGAATTCTAGTTAATACTAGCAATGAGTAAACAACCTGAGTAAAAAGAGTTATAAAAATCAAGTATCTGAGACTAAAAACAGGCATGTACACCTTACACGAATTCTTCAAACAGTTTACACTTTTGATGTGTGCTTAAAATAGTCTTTTCCTAGTAGATTACTAGAACATATAAAACTCACTGAATACGCTGAGAATTTGGTAGAGAGTTTATCTAGAATACAAGGCCCTGTATTTTACCCCAAAATGAAAAACAAAGGAAAACAAAAGACACAAGAGCTCTTTGAAGAAAGTTCTAACTACCAGACCACTGCCAATCGCAGCATTTTGCACACAACTTCCCAGAAAAATCAAGCAGTACTTTATGAGGACTCTGGCAAACAAAATGTTCACAAATATTTGAACTATTATACTTGTCATTAAAATTAACTTTGTACACCTTAAACAATGTTGAATGCCTGAAAACATCATGTATGGATAAAGCTAAAACATGCTTCATTTACTGGTTTAAATATTTCTAATATATCCTAAAAGATTCAAGCTTCTTTTTTAAACAATTTGCTCAATCTTATTTTTATTTTCATTTTTAAGCAAGAAAGAGGCACTCAAAACCTAAGAATAATTTTGTTGTTGCTCTTTTGGAAACAAGTCTCATTCTGTGCCCCAGGATGGTCTGGCTATGCTGCCTCATGTAGCTCTGGTGTTAGAGGCATGGTGTTACACTCCAACTGCCAGAGTCATCCTCCAACTCAGCAAAGCTTTGACTATCACAAAGAAATCACCAATCTCTGTTTGCACACGACTCTCCCACCTTTGAAACCTACCTCAACAAAACAGTTCCTTCAGACAAATGAGGCTCACATACACTTTTTCAGCTATTGGTGAAGTAATACAGACAAAATGGAAACCACTTTGTCTATACTAAATATCTCATATCATGTACCATGACATGAGACCATCTTTCCTTCTGCTTACCTGAGAATTTTTAAACATTTCCAATCATATGAGTCAGGAGAATGATGTGTGGTATAGTCAGTGTAACTTTAAGAGAGCCAAACCTGCATTTTATATGTACCAAAATTGGAAGTGTTTGTATTGGTTCCTAAAGTCAGGGTTGGTTTGTTACCGAAGAGCCCGCCACTGGTTGTACCAAAGGAAGGAGCACTGGTTGTGCTGGTTCCAAAAGTTGTAAGCTTGTTATTGCCAAACAGGGTCTAAAAAGAAAATAATACAGAAAAATTAATATAAAGATACAACAAAGCAAAAGTAAGCAGGCCAAAGAGAAGCTCAACAATTAAGAGCAGGTACTGTTCTTACCAGGACCTGAGCTCGATTCCCAGCACCCACATCAGGTGTCTACAACCACCTGTCACTCAAGCTCTAGGGGTATCTTACAACTCTTCAGACACCTATACTCATGTATACACACACAATTTAAAATGATAAAAATTAAAATAACAAGGGCTGGAGAGATGACGCAGTAGTTAAGAGCACTAACTACTCTTGTAAGTTCAGTTTTTAGCACCTGTATCTGGTGGCTCAAAACTACCTGTAATCTAGTTTCACAGGATCCTATACTTTTGACCTCCACAGGTAACTCATTCAGACGTACATACCCATATGCCAACACACAATACACATAATTTACAGTAATGAGAGAAAGGATACAAATAAGTTACTCTAAATATTATGTGTATAATGGAAGAAAGTTTTAACTTATGAAAAGTTATGGCAGATAAATCAGAAGATAATCTGAGCAAGATTATAAAGCACAAGGCTAACACAAAAAAATCAATACCTTAGCAAACAGTATTTCAGTGAGTCAAAGAAAAAAAATAACATGAAAATCAAATGTTTTCATTGGCCAGGTAGGGAAGTACAGGCCTGTGAAACCAGCATTTGGAAAACTGAGCCAGGAGGAAGACCAGGCTTCTTTAGGAGACAAGAGAGAGGGAAAAGTAAAGAGGGAGAGAGAAAAAGTGTGAAGAGAGAAAATACTTTGTAGTACCGGGAACTGAACCCAAGGCCTTGTGTATGAACTCAGCATTCTAATACTGAGATACATCTTCATCTCCTAATTTGCTTGAGGCTGGCCTTGAACTCTCTGTAGCCAAGGCTGGACTCAAACTTTCAATCTTGTCTCAGCTATGTCTGATAACTTATTCAATAAGGTAAATAACTGAGTTACACCTCCCACAGCATGAGAATCTCTATAATTCTAGCAACTTGATCAACAAGCATCTAATTTCCAAATACCATACTAGTTTATCCCTCAAAACACAAAAAAAGAAAACTAGGAGATAAGAATGGTCTGATTTGGGCTAGAGATGGTGGCACAAGCCTTAAACCTCCTACTTGGCAAGTAGGAGGAAGCAGATCTCTCTAAGTTTGAGGCCACCCTGATCTTTATAGGAAGGTTCATGTTTTTCAGCGCTACATAGTAAATTCTGTCTCGAAAAATAAACAAACGAATGAATAAATAAATAAATATATGTATCTGAAGCCAGGAGAAGGTCGAGCATAGCTTTTTAACACAAGATGCAAAGATAGGTGGGGATATCTGTTCTATACAGACTTCAAGGCCAGTCTGGTCTACAGTTAAGAGTTCCAGAACAGGCTCCAAAGCTCTGGAGAAACTCCATCTTGAAAAAACAAACAAACAAAAACATGAAAAACTGATTTAAATCATCTAAATTAATAGTACATAACAAACTATCCCAATGGATTCAACAACGTAAATAAAATCGGAAACTTCAAAGGGAGCCTGCAGTTGCAAAAGATATTAAGTATAAAACAAACACAAAAAAGACTTTATGTTGTATATAATAAAAACAAGCAGGGTGTGGTGGTGGCACAAGCCTTTAATCCCAGCACTCAAGAGGCAGAGAGGCAGGTTAATCTTTATGAGTTCAAGGTCAGCCTGGTCTCCAGAGTGAATTTCAAGACAGTAAGAGTTACATGAAGAAACCCTGTCTCGGAAAAACAAAACCATAAAAAGAGCAGCTTTACTCCCTATTTAAAAATTAAAATTAAACTAGCAAACTATAACTATTTCTTTCTCTTTTTTTTAATGTGTATGGATGTTTTGCCTACATATATGTCTGTGTACCATGTGTATCCCTACTGACTACAGAAGCCAGAAGCAAGCTGCCACGTGGGTTCTAGAATTCATATCCAGGTCCTCAGTTAGAGTAGCCAGTGCTCTTAACCACTGAGCCATCTATCTCTCCAGCAAGTAACAGTACTTTCAAAGAGAAATAAAGTACACACCACTGAGATAAGGCAGGAACTAATGAGGTAGTCCTTAGTTACTACAGTGCTTTTCTGGAATGCATGAAGCCTACGGTTTTCATCTCCAAAACTTCATGAAACCAGGTATGACGGAAAATATTTGGGATCCTAGTATCTGGGAACTGAAAACATGAAAACTAGTAGTTTGGGCAAACTGCTCATGAGTAGTACATGCTTGAGTCCTAGCACTAAAAAAGTAGCAGCAGGAGCTGTTCAAGGTTATCCTTGGCTACACAGAAGGCTCAGCCACTCTGAGCTACTTGAGACCCTGAAAGAAAGACCAAGACATGAATAGGCAAAATGGCTAGTAGGTAAAGGGCCTTGGCATCAAGCCTGATCTAGGTTTGATCCTTGGAACCCATGCAGCAAGAGAGACTGGACTCCCAACAAGTAGTTTTTCACTCTCTCTCCCCTCTCCTCTCCCAACCCCTTTTGGATTTTCAAGACAGTGCTTCTCTATGTAACAGCTCTGGCTGTCCTGGAACTCATTCTGCAGACCAGGATATCCTCGAACTCAGAGATCCGCCTGCCTTTGCCTCACAAGTGCTAAGATCAAAGGTATTTGTTTGTTTGCTGCCACCACCCCATGGCTTCCACAGTGGTTTCTGATAGCCATGTATGCAGTGTGGCTGAGGCACATGTACATAAAAAAATAAAAATAAAAACTTACAAATAAAGAGGGAAAATGAAAAAAATAGATATTAAATTCTCAGAAGTCAATAATCTGTTTTATACATTCATTAAAAACTTCAAATTACAGTCAACTGTCCACACCTACCGAACCAACTGCACCAAATCCAGTACTGGGCTGCCCAAAGAGACCTGTTCCTGTTCCAAATGCTGTCCCAGTGCTGGTGTTTGTAGCTGTCCCAAAAAGACCTCCTGGCTGTGAGGCTTGGGTTACTCCAAATAGGCCCTGGAAGGGGTAATCTAGATTAAAATGAAGTTCGTAATAGCTTTCTTTAAAGTCCTAGAAAAGTGGTTTATAAAAGAATGTGTGATAAACACAAAATTATTGGAATATTTCTTTGCGACAACTCTGAAAAGCAAGAATAAGCTATCCTTCCCAAAACAGCATAAAGAGCTATTACTGTAAATTCATCTCTATAACCTAAGTTCCTGTTCCCAGAATAATGAACTTCAGATGCTGGGCATGTACTAAGACTTTCTATGAATTGGTTTGCTCTAAGAGAGTCCAGGATAATCTAAGCAATATAACAAGACTATGCTATCAAAACAACAAGAAAATCTAATTTTCTTCTAATACTTTATAAACTGGACATAATTCATACCTATAATCCCATCATGTATGAGGCTGAAGGAAGAGGACCATGAGTTTCAGGTGAGCCTGAACACAGTGAGACCTTGGGTCATAAACAAAACACAACCACAAGATTTGTAATTCTAAGTATTTTATCTACTTAATAAACTCTGGCTATTAATAATAAGGGATTTTTAAAAAAGATTTGTTTGTTTGTTTATTATGTATACAGTGTTCTGCCTACATGTATGCCTGCACACCAGAAGAGAGCACCAGATCTATAGATGGTAAGCCACCATGTGGTTGTTGGGAATTAAATTCAGGACTTCTGGAAGAGCAGACAGTTAGTGCTCTTAACCACTGAGCCATTTCTCCAGCCATTCTCCAGATGGATAATCAGTTGTAGTACTCTTGTTGAAAAATAAAACATCAGCTGTTCTTAAATGTGAGAATTCCTTTCATTATTCTCAATTATATTCATACACCTCATTTAATTTTTGAGATTAATCTTATACACTCTTGATTGGCCTTGAACTGGATACATAATCAATGCTATCCTTGAACTCTGGAGCCTCTTTCCAAGCACTGAGATTACAGGATGCCCAGTTCTAGTTTTGTCTTTATAATGTGAGTAACCAGTCTGTACTTACAATAGTTTTAACAATTTCATCTACAAAGACAAGATATTTCGATGATACATACACTCCCCTTTCTCATTATCTCCCTCCAACTCCCTCTGGAACAATCATCAATGTCATAAGCCTCAAGATAGCAACCTGCAGCTCACTAAGCTCTTAGTGTTAAGAAAACTATGGTCAGAAAGAATAAATGACTCATTCAACAAACCTTCAATAAGCAGAGTATAGATCAAGACAAAATCTAGGATTCATTATCGACAGATTTCTTGTCCCCTGCCCCCCTCCAGCTCTAAAGAACTGCTGTGGAGATAGCACTTACAAGGTGAACAGGATTACTAGCCTATTACTTAGATTAATAAGTAAGATCGGCGTTAACCAAGGCCTTACCATAGTATTGGTGCTTGGCTGTCCAAGGGTACTAGTATTACCAAAGGAAAATCCAGTATTTGGGGTGGTTGTAGCCTGGCCAAATGGTTTGCTGAAGAGACTGGTAGTCTGTTGATTCTGTTGGCCAAAGAGACCACCTGGATTTGTTCCAAATCCAGTTGTGCCTTTCAGGAAAAAGAAACAAACAAACAAACAAAAAACGAATAAAAAAATGGAACTCTCAAATGAGTAATTCAGGAATCATCTGAGCTTTAATTATTGCTGTCTAAATTAGTCTATATTCATTCCTTACCAAATAGCCTTCGTTTTTTATCTTCAGTTGGCTCTACTTCATATTATATTAAAACTTTCCTTTCTATAATACCTCAATCAAGAATTCTAGTAAGACTAAACCCAACTTTGTAAACCCAACTTTTCTTCTTTTTGATAAGGAAAAATAATCTATGTTTAAATTAATCTTGAGAGAATGAGGCTTTTTCTTCCCATCAATACATTCGGCCTAGTTGTTTATATATAGCACTGTGTTCACTGAGCATAGTGGCAAACCCTTTTAATCCCAGCTCTCAGGAGACAGAGACACAGGCAAAGGCAGTGTCTCTGTGATTTCAAGGCCAGCGTGGACTACACAGTGAGTTCCAGGATAGCCAAGTATACAAAGAGAAACCTGTTTCCAAAAAAAAAAAAAAAACCCAAAACAAAACAAAAAGAATAAATCTGGCCAGGCAGTGGTGGCGCACACCTTTAATCCCAGCACTCGGGAGGCAGAGGCAAGTGGATCTCTGTGAGTTCGAGGTCAGTCTGGTCTTCAAGACAGGCTCCAAAGCTACAGAGAAACCCTGTCTCAAAAAACCAAAGGGTGAGAAAACAAAAGAATAAATCTGTTCTGTTAAATCAGAAATATTAAGGCTAAAAAGAACTTTAGATGTAAATTAGATAAATACAATATTTGTGTATACTTATCTGTAGAAAGCTATGGAAATGTAACTTTTGTTTTTACAGAGATAAACTTGTGGCTAAGAGAAAAATCCTGGCAAGAAGAGATCTGTGATTTGCTTTAGTTACTAACAGAGTGACCTCATCCTTGGTTATGTAGCTAAGGATAATCTTGAATTCTTGATCTCCACCTCCTAAATTATGTAATTAACAAGCATGAACTACCCAGATAGCTATAATATACACTTTGTATTGTAACTTTTGCAAAAGTAGTTATTTTTATCAAGTAACTTAGTCATTACCCTAAATGCTTTTACATCATCTACTGAATCAACCCAGTTACCTAATCAGGGTTTAGAATCTGATTCATGGACTGCTAGGGACTGAGAACAGGGCCTTATATACGCTTGAGATACACTAGCAATGTCAGCCCTTTCATGTACAAAGTACTACAGCTTTTGGCTTTTTTGTTTTTCGAGACAGGATTCCTGTATGGGCCCAGCTGTCCCACAACTTGCTCTACAGACCAAGTTGGCCTAGAACTCAGGGCTATCTGCCTCAGTCTCTAAGTGCGGGGATCACAGGTGGGCACCACGTGCCCAGCACTTGATGTACTACTTTGTAGTATTTTGAACATAACAGCAGTCCTCAGAATGATCCTCCATGCACAATCAAATGACTTCTCTTTCAAAATAAACCTTAAATGTTTCCCAAGCAAATAAAAAGTCATGTCTTGTAGGATGAGGCACACAAGCCTACAAGTTCAGCATTTGGGAGGCAGAGGCAGGAATGCCTTAAATCCTATGGAGCAAGTTCCAGACCAGCCAAGTTTACACAGCAAGACTGTCTCAAAAAAGCCAAGCTCTGATCCATTCACACAGCCCTATTGTGTACCTAGAATTCTACAACACTCTCACCTCTTTGGTAAAAACTTTTTGAGTTTTGCTGGGCCTGGTAGCTCATGCCTGTAATCCCAGTTATTTTAAGGGCTTTGAGGTCAAGTTAGAGTGAGACCCTGCTTCAAAAGAAGCCTCTAAAACCTCAGTTTTGAGGTTCATAGCTTCAAGTTAGGAGAGTTTTCCTAAAAATACATATAACTAGTTCTTTTCCTTCTTTGGGTAGGTTATTACTCGACTATTACCCACTGAAATAAGGATTCCTTAGCCACTTTCACTTTTTTTGTTTGCTTGTTTTTCTGTGCAGCATTGGAGTCTGTCCTGGAACTCACTCTGTAGACCAGACTGTCTCTGCCTCCTGAGTGCTGAGATTCTATTTTTTCCATGACTAATGAAGTGAGTTATGATTTACTTGCATTTGACCATTCTTTTTTATGATACAATAAAGTGCTTACTAGTTCCAAAGGCAGTTTTATTCTGACCATATGAAAAGCCTGAATTAGTGGTGGAGGAGCTGAAGAGTCCTGTTGCACTGGAAGTTGCTGGAGAAGACCCAAATAAGCCAGCTGTGGTACCTGCTCCCACTTGGTTCTGTGGGCCTTTCCGGTTAGCCTGATAATCCTCCAAACGAAGTTCCTGAAGGATAAACACCAAACTTAACATATGGCAAAAAAAATACAGAGTAACATCACTAATAAAGGGTAATATTGAAGTATAAAGTAAGTATCCATCTATATAAAACTCAAAAGATCAGCAAAGATAGCAATTAAGGGCCAGGCAGCAGTGGCACATGCCTTTAATCCCAGCACTTGGGGGCAGAGGCAAGTGATCTCTGTGAGTTCGAGATCAGCCTGGTCTCCAAGAGCTAGTTCCAGGACAGGCTCCAAAGCTGCAGAGAAACCCTGTCTTGAAAAACCAAAAGAGTATTATGACTAGTGGCAGAAACAGGGTATTGGGATGTTAGCTACTGCTTCTTTTGCTATTCATTATTTTTTATTTCTACACTGTCACTTGATCCTTCCACTTAATAAAAATCTTATTAAGCCAAATAATTAGGATTTTGAATAAATTTACTAAAAAACTCAGGTATGCACACATACGTATTCTCACTGCAACGTAAATATCTAACCAGGCCAGGCGGTGATGGCGCATGCCTTTAATCCCAGCACTCAGGAAGCAGAGACAGGCAGATCTCTGTAAGTTCAAGGCCAGCCTGGTCAACAGAGAGAGTTCCAGGACAGGCTCCAAAGCCTGTCTCGAAAAACCAAAAGGAACAACGACAACAAAAAAAAACTAACCAGAATAGACTACAAGACAGAAGACCTGTATATATGCAGAGAATATCTGAGCCTAAAATAAAGATATTCATAATAATACATAATCTTGAAAAATACCTTGATTAATAAAAAGCTTTTACTCACAATCAATTTGAACCACAAAAATATTAAAAAGAATCACATATATTTGAAGTCGTTTTTATATATTATCAAAGTATTAAGCTCTTGTTTTGAACTTCATTTTACTGACCTCTAGTGACTTGCTTTCATATTCTTTCATAGCAGTAATACACTGATGCTTGGTACTGATGTTAGTGCTAACTCCAGCTTTGACCATAGTATCTGTACCAGTGGGAGGCTGCAAAGGAAAACAAAGGATATTTCTAAGTTCAAGCTTTTTTCTCTAAGTCCAAATTTCTAAATCCAACTCTCACAGACACATTTTTTACACCCATTGAACTTTAAAACAATACCCTAATTCTTTTTATGTAACAAGACAGGGCCAAGGGCTGGATACTCTCCGTGGTGAATGCCTGCCTAACATTCACAAAGGCATGGGTTTAAATCCCCATGAAACACCCCTGCCCATCCACTTAAAAAACACTATTTAGGAGGGCATGATGGCCCATACCTACTACCCCAGAACTCCAGAGGAAGTCGTGAATACTAAACCAACTTGAGTGGGCTAGACAGTGACATCTTGTCTTAAACAAACTAAAAGATGGAGCTAGGCACAGTGAAACAAATCTATAGTCTGAAATATTTTGGAAGTTGAAGCAGAATCATTATTTGAGACCAGGAATTCAAGACCAGCCTGGGCATCACAGTAGACCCTCATGGCAAAACCAAACTGTTTTCAAGGATGCTTGATTAAAATACAGGGCAACATTTCTGACCTTTCCCCTACATCACAGTTATCTGAATAAACTAATCTTCATTTTTAAATATTAATTTTTATCATATTTTAATTAGGTCTAGCTGTGTGTGTCTGCATGTAGATATGTACATGTCAGTGCACAGAGGCCAAAGACATTGTTAAGAGTAACAGACAGTGGTAAGTCAATCGATACAGTTACTGGAAAGTCCCCAATTCCAGTCCTCTGAAAGATTATCAAGTACTCTCCCCCCCCCTTTTAAAAAGATTTATTTATTTATTATGTATACAGTATTTTCAGTACTCTGCCTGCAGGCCAGAAGAGGGCACCAGATCTCATTACAGATGGTTGTGAGCCACCATGTGGTTGCTGGGAATTGAACTCAGGACCTTTGGAAGAGCAAGCAGAACTCTTAACCACTGAGCCATCTCTCCAGCCCAAGAACTCTTAACTACTAAGTCATCTCTCCAGTCCTGAATAAATCAATCTTGGTAACAAATTTACCACAAACTTAAGTATTAGCATCTCAACTCAATATCCAATTACATGACAAAATACAGATAATATATTCTTATAGATGGTTTTGCCCAATTTGCCCTCCCAAAAAAGTATATATATTTAAATCTTTAAGCAGTATCATCTGTCCTTCAATTTCTCCTTTTCATTTTCCATTCATTTAATTCATTTTGAGACAGGGTCTCTATGTAACTCTGGCTGTCCTGGAACTCTATGTTAACCAGACTGAACTTGAACTTGAAACAACTCTACCTCCTGAGTGCTAGGATTAATGGTGTGAGTCACTACACCCAGCTTTATTTTCTGCCACAATATTCTACGTAGTCCACACAAGCCTTTGAAGTCCATGGTTCAATATAAGGCCCATAGCTCACTGACTCTCCCATCCACTGTATTGTCCCATTTTTCCATTCCATCCAAGGTTTTATTGTTTCATAGATAAAGACTATTGATAGACTGTTCTATATATCTCTATGAAGAAGTCTTACTTTCAGTAGTAAATGGGCTGTCCATTATCCTTTATTTCTTATAAACAGATGGCTACGCCAATTCTGCCTTAGAACAGAAAATATTGACAGACACTTGTTATCCTAGCACTAAAAAGTCAAAGCAAGATCGCTGAGTTCAAGGCAAGTCTGAGCTAGTTAGTACAAAGTCAGCCTGGATTACACAACAAGACCTTGTCTCAGAAATTCTGCTTTATATGTGCTACCATAATCAACACTGAACACAAATTTGACTGAAGTGAGCATAATTCTAATATACATCATGACAGAGATGATGTTTCACACTGAAGATGAATTTCAGCTCACTGGTAGACTGCTCATTTACCATGCATGAGACTTTAGCTTAATGATCACCAAGGCAACAAAGAGGGAAAATTAGATTTTGTTTGTTATTTTTTTAAGACTGGGTTTCTCTGTGTAACAGCCCTGGTTGTCCTGGAACTCACTTTGTAGAATAAACTGGACTTGAACTCACAGAAATACACCTCCATCTGCCTCCCAAGTGTTGGGAATAAAGGTGCTACCGTGTCTGGCCGGAAAATTAGATTCATGTATTCTTGTATACTATAAAATCATCATGTATACTATTTCTTGTATACTATGAAATCATCATGAGTAATATTTTTACTATTTATTCTGTTTGCCTGCATCGGGGACAGAGGACAACTTGCAGTTTTTTTCTTTACTATCAAGTTCCAAAGATCAAACTCAGTTATTTGGCTTAACAGCAAGTGCCTTTACCCACTAAACCATCTCACTAACCCTTTAATCTCAGCACTTGGGAAGCAGAGGCAGGCAGATCTCAGTGAGTGTGAGACCAGACTGGTCTACAAAATGAGTTCCAGTACAGCCAGGACTGTTATATAGAGAAACCCTATCTCAAAAAACCAAACAGACAAAGCAAACCTAGTATTGAGACAGGGTCTTACCATACAACCCTAGCAGGTCTAGAATATGCTATGTAGAATAGGTTGGCCTCAAATTCACAGAGCTATGCCTGCCTTTTCCTCCCAAGTTCTGTTATTTTAAAGGCATTTGCCACCATGGCCAGCCGCAAACTGTTTTTACTATATTTCCAAAGAGCCAAACCAGGGAACGGAGAGATGGCTCTGCAAAACAAAACAAAACAAGAGTACTTGCTACTCTTGCAGAAGAACCAGATTCCTCTTTATTAGGTAATTCCACCAGAAAACACAGACTTTATTTATTTATTTTGGTTTTTTGAGGCATGGCTTCTCTGTATAACAGCTTTGACTGTCCTGGAACTCACTCTGTGGACCAGGCTGGCCTCGAATTTAGAGCTCTACCTGTCTCTAAAGTTGAACACACAGTCTATATTGCCCACTGACGGCTGCCCAAGGAGCTTGCCCAAATCATGCAGCCTGAACCTCAAGGATCTTTTTCCTTTTATGCACAAAACAGCATCCTGGTTGACACATTCCAGCTAGCAAGAACAATTATTGACAAATAAAAACTACAGTAGCAAGCAAAAAAAAAAAAAATTAGTTTAGTACATTTAAGAATTTTCCTGGTTTTCCTGGACCCTAATCTTTGATGGATTAGGTATTTGTTTCCGTTTCTGACCAATGATGGGATCTATGTGTTGGGTTCTGGGTCAGAATAGTGCCTCGAAAGTGCTGTTAATAATGCCAAGGTCTTGGGGCCTATTACACCAGCACCAGATGGAGGTTCCCAACCATCTGTTATTGCAATTCCAAGAAATCATGATACCCTCTTCTAGTTTCCCTGGGTACTGGCATGCACATGGCGTACATTCACATATTTAACAAATGTTCATATACACACAAAAAAAATAAGTCTTATTTTTTTAAAAAGCCAAACTATGATATATATTACTGGAGATAGAAGCAATCTGACAATACATTCTACAAAGAAATACACAAATAGGGGGAAAAAAACATTCTGGAAGAAAATACGTACATTAAATTTAATGGTAGTTCCTGTAGGTGCTGCTGTAAAACTACTTGGCCCAAAGAGGGAGCCAGATGTGCTACCAAAAGGGTTAGAGGTGGTGTTTGTAGTTCCAAAGAGTCCTCCACTACTAGTACTTGCTCCAAAATCTATAAATTAGAAAGAAAAGTAAGAATTAAATAGCAAACAATCTTTAACACACCTTGGAAGTAAGGCAGAGTAATGGCAGTTGCACTTTCATCCTGTCTAATATTCTTTATTTCTCCTGAACAAGTTCATTTATGCAATGTCTCACACCAACACTTGCTTCCAGGCTACAACTTTTCAAGATAAACTAATCCAAACCCAGGATTTAGCAACATATGCAGGAAGTTCTTATAAAGACAAGACAAAAAAGAAATTATTTTATCTCGTTTCTCCTTTTCTTACTAAGAATGAATGCTGAATAAAACTGTATTTCTAAAAACACCTCATAACAGACATTACAATAGCATAGTATGTTTATTTAGCTATAATTCATACACCCATATATATGAGAATATTCTGAATGTATGTCCTATAGAAGCAATCATAGACAGGTTAACATAAAATATGACTCCCCTAAAGAAATGTTAAATCAGAGGGCATTATTGGTCCTTTTACAGAAACTAATTCAGAAGCAGAACTGTAATCCAAACACTTGGGAGGCTACGTCAGGAATGCCTCCAGTTCAACACTAGCTTGGGCTAGTTACACACTGAGTTCCAGACTAGCCCAGGCTACAGAGTGAGAAGACACTTGTTTCAAAATGGAAAAAGAAACTAAATAGAAATAGCAGACTCTACCTAGCAGGGCATACTGGCCCATGCCTTTAATCTCAGAAGGGAGACAGAGGCACATGGATCTCTGTTTGAGGCCAGCCTGGTCTACCTGTCTCAAAAGGGGTAAAAGAAAAGAAATTAAAGTACCTTTCTTTCTTTTTTTTCCTAACGATTCCTTTATTTTATGTCCATTGGTGTTTTGCCTGCATGTATGTCTGGGTAAGACTGTTGGCTCCGCTGGAACTGGAGTTACACAGTTGTGAGCTGCCATGTTATGCTGGCAACTGAACCTGGGTTCTCTGTAATAGTCAATGCTCTTTCTCCAGCCCCAAGACTATGTTTCTTAAAATATGAGAAATCATACAGCGCCAGAAATGTCAGTAAACAAGAAAAATTTATCTGCCAATATTTAAAATTAAGTGATATACTAATAACCATTATGATCAATTTGACTTCTCATTGGCAAACTATCATTTCTAACTAACTCTAACCCTAAATATATGGTTTAAAGTTAGTTGGTTAGTTAGCCATTCAGGCTCTTGTATCATAAACAGCATCATCTCATAGGGCACATTAGAGGTTGCCTTAAAGTACTCTATAAAAACGTACTTCTTGGGGGCTGGAGAGATGGCTCAGTGGTTTAGGGGTACTGACTGTTCTTCCAGAGGACCCGGGTTCAGTTCCCAGCGCCCACATGGCAGCTCATGGCTGTCTGGGGATCCAGCTGCAGGGGATCTGGCACCTTCACACCAATGCACATGGAATGGAGTTGAATAAACCATAAAAATATTTAAAAAAAAACGTACTTCTTGGCCATATGGATTTGAAGAGTTAAAAAACATCTGCCATGAGCAAGGAATGGAGAGGTAATCAAAGCATATACGGTATTTCTCATTCCTGGTGCTCCAGTCTCTTTGTTATAAATTTGAGGCACAGGTAAGGAAGGACAGAGATGTCTTTATAGTACAACACTACTGACTATAGCACATTCTTGATATCCTGTCATCATAACTTCAATGATACTATCCAGACCTGGTTTTTCATCCTATGTCTGGGTGTTCACTATCAGACCCCCCACCACCCGTGGTTTTTTGAGACATAGTTTCTCTATGTATCCCTAGCTCTCCTGGAACTCACTCTGTAGACCAGGCTAGCCTTGAACTCTTGATTTTCTCTGTCAGGCACCTCTTTCTCTCTTGCATCCATTACAAATACTAGTGCTTTAAGTTCCTGTCTTTTAAGAGATGTATTTACACTGGGCAGTGGTGGCGCATGCCTTTAATCCCAGCCAGCACTTGGGAAGCAGAGCAGATCTCAGTGAATTCAAGGCCAGCCTTGTCTACAAATCGAGTTCCAGGAAACCCAGGACTGTTATACAGAAAAACCCTGTCTCGAAACCCCCCCCCCAAAATAAATAAATAAAAAGGAGTGAGATATTTACTGCCATCTTTTCTAGCCTACAAAACTCAATATATTTTCAGGCTCTGACTACTTGGTGGAATAGGACATAAGTGAACATAGAGCAAAAGAAGAGAGAACACATTCAACAAACAAATCAAATATTAAACTATCAGAAGATATGGTGTCCTACTTACTCCCAAAGCCAGTTGGTTTATTTTGTGCAAATGCATTGTTCTGGGATGAGAAAAGACTGGTCCCTGTACTTGCAGTTCCAAACAAACTATTTGATGTTCCTGTTGATGTACCAAACCCAAAGCCAGTGCTTGTGGAAGTTGCCGGCTGGCTGAATGAATTGGTACCAAATAAACCTCCTGAAAAGATGGGAAGTGGGAGAACACAAGTTTATGTAGTTACCAAGTGGAGTTTTATACCAGCTACATATAAGCCAAATGTATTCCAAACATAATTCCTTACCTGGTTTAGTCTGTGAATTTCCAAATAAGCCTCCAGTATTGTTGCTAGAACCAAATGCAGATGTTCCAAATGCTCCTCCACTAGTAGTACCAAAGCCAGTATCTGAAACAGCAAAATCCAGGGTCTATGAGTAAAATAGTTTTATTATTTCTTTTTATTTTATTATCATTATTATTTCTTTTTATTTATTTGTTTAGCTATTTATTTACTTATGTTTCTTGGAGACAGGGTTGGCTGTCCTGGAACTCACTCTGTAGACCAGGCCGGCCTCGACTTTAGAGATTCTCTTCCTCTGATTCCCAAGTGCTGAGATTAAAGGTGTGCACCACCACTGCCCAGCTACACTGCGTTAAGTAGAACCACTAATACAGTTTGAAGTCTTTCTCAAATTTTCATAAAAATTATTACAGGATAGAAATTAAGCCAAGGTATTTTACTTATGATTTCCATAAGAACATGAATTTTAAGTCAAAAGGTGTGGTTTTTGATCATCACAAGGTGCATGCAGCCCAGTGGCAGAGTATCTGCTAAGCACAAGCAGTGGAGGGGAGCGACCTCAAGCACAGGAGCAGTGCTCTCCACAGTGGGTACATCCTCCCCATCAATTAAGATAACCACAATAATCCTTCACAGATATTCTCAGATCCACTTCTACATTATGTCAAGTTGACACAAAACTACCATAGTGGTTCATACCTATAATCCCAGCACCTGAGAAACAGAAACAAAGACTAAGCTACATAAAGAGTTGTGAGTCGGCTCAGGCTACAGGGATACCAGTCTCAAAACAAAGCAACTGAACCAGCAAAAGTCAAATTAAGACATTTTCTCCTCTTTCATTATATTTCAAAACTTACTTTGTCCAAATGTTGAAGTTGTGCCAAAGCCCCCGGTCCCACCCCCAAAGGGGGTTCCAAATGATTTGTTAAACATCTTCAAAACAAAGTGTTTGCTTCAGAAAGCTGTAAAAGAAAAGTTATTCTTTTGAGAAACCAAAGAAAGTAGTACGTTTCAATAAATCTACCATTTTACAAATATTAGTTAGACCCATAAAAATGACTGCATACTGCTCTTATTCAATATTCTAAAATCTTGAATGAATAAATTAATTAAATGAAAATATTATTTAAATTAAATATAATAACCTATATATATGTTATAACCTATGAAATGCTCATTAATCTACACACTTCCTAAAATAAACTAGTACTATAATGTGAGATTAAATTTCTGATCCTACCAATTACCATCCCCTTAAAATGTTTTTCATGTATGTGTGTTGAATTGCTGGGCAATTTAACTTTTCTTACTTTTAGTGCATGTATTCCTGCAAATGCCACAGCACATGGCATGAATGGAGGCGAGAGGATGGGACAGAAATAGGGTCTGGAAGCTGAACTCAATTCAGCAGGCTTGGCAGAAAGCTGAGACATCTCACTGACCCAGTTTTTTTTTTTTTTTAAGTTTTTACTTAGCTTACATTTTACTATACTGATCATAATACAGATCAGTATAGACAGTACATGAAGCTGCGGGTTTGCTCCCCAGCACTGGATATGGTGGCACATCTATAATCTTAGCACTCTGGAGGTGGGAGGTTAAGGGGATCAGAAATTCAAGGTAATCTTTAGCTATCAAAATCAGTCTAGGTTACATGAGACTCTGTCTCAAAACAACAATAACGAAAACAAGACCTCAAATCTATGAGGATAGGTTTTGATAATAATCCACTTAGGAGATTTACAGTATGTGCATCAAAAATTACGACCATATTCCTTTATCCCAACTATCTGAAATGTTTCCCTGGCCAGGGCTGGAGAGAAAGCTCAGCAGTCAAATAACAAAAAAACAAATAGCTGGGCATTGGTGGCACATGTCTTTAATCCCAGTACTCGGGAGCCAGAAGCAGGTGGATCTCTGTGAGTTCGAGGCCAGTCTGGTCTACAGAGTGAGGTCCAGGACAGGCTTCAAAGCTACAGAGTAACCCCGTCCCATCTTGAAAAACGAAAAAGTGTACCTACTTACTAGTCTTAAAGTTAGAGATCCACACAGGAAGCACTAGAGCACACCTTTAATCCAGCACTCAAAGGCAGAAGTTTGGTATCTGAGTGTTTGAGGCCAGCCTGATCTACATGGCAAGTTCCAAAGCTACAGAGAAACCCTATCTATAGAAACAGAAACAAAACAAACAAACAAACAAAAAGCTAAAGGTTCACATAATCATCATTTACTCTTCAGGATTGAGATCTGCTTTAAGTTCCCTACCTTTAGCCTGATGTGGTGGCACAATGTTTGTAACAGTGTAACAGGCAGAATTGCTGGGGCTATACAGAAAGCCCTAACCAAGCCCTCCCCCCCCCAAAAAAAAGCCAAAAGATTTGAATAGCTACATTAAGGGAAAAAAGATGTGAACAAGTTTTTTAGCAAAAAATAGGTGAATGGTAAATTTTATTTATATATGTTCTACCACACGTTTTCAAAATTTTGTTTTATAACACGAACAGTTCAAGGGCAGCCTGGACACATGAACCATGCATGTGTCACCCAAAACAAGTGCTATTCATGTTGATTTTGCCAGGCACCTCCATTTTTTTGTGTTTTTGATTCTGGATACAGGTTTAGTCACAATGCTTGAGGTTATATATAGGAAGTTTAGATTTATAAAACAAGTGTTGGGAGATGTATGTTATTTGTCCTTATTGTTATTATGTGCTAATTAATAACCATGTAACATACTTTGATCATATTTATCCCTCCTATATACTTATTACTGTGAGCTGTATGGCCTAGTTTTGAATCAGCATATGACTACTCATCCAAGGTCCTCTGAGACCATTTCTCACTTGACAAAGACCAGTGAACCTTGGGAAAGCACAGACTACTCCTGGGACCGAGCAAGCTGCACAGTCTCCTTTCTCATAAATATTGATGATCGTCTTGGCAGTTTTTGGTTTTACTTTGTCACATTTACTCTGACACATGGGATAGGAGTGATCATTCCTAGAAACCTCACTTTTTTCTCAAATATTTTCCCCCTAAAGTTCTTTGGGAACTTAGGTTTCTTATCTGGAAAAACCAGCTCTCACCCCAGACCCTGGGAACTTTTCTGTTTCAGTGTGGACAGGATAAGAGGCAATAAGTTAAAGGGCACATATAAGCAACACAGGGGACATTAACTATGTCTCCTAATTCTGGGGAAAATTAAGATGGAAAACAGTGTCTTACTAAAGTTCACTCTTCAGTGAAGCTTCAGTGACAGGGAACAGTTGGAGAAATACAAGCTAACTGTATGGAAGTAACTTATGACAAACCACCCCTATTTCCATAAAACAGGCTTTAAGGTTTTAATAATATTGTTGTTTTTCAGAACATGTGCCTATATTTATCACATTTTAGCTATAACAGGATGTGTCTGGCTTGATATTTAGCCAAGTTAACAAAATGCTGATCATTGTCATCTTTGGTTTAAAAGTTGTTTTAATGCAAAAGTTGGGCAAAATAATATTTGTTTCTGCTTAGGTTAATACTGGAGGATAGGAAAAACAGACTTGTTTTTAAAGTATAAAGAGTGCTTGAGCTGTTCAGGAGCTTGTATAAAATTCATCTGGTGAGGGGTTGGAGAGATGGCTCAGTGGTTAAGAGTACTGACTGCTCTTCCAGAGGACCCGGGTTCAATTCCCAGCACCCACATGGCAGCTCACAACTGTCTGAAGATCCAGTTGCAGGGGGTCTGATACCTTCACACCAATGCACATAAAATAAAGTTAAATAAACCATAAAAAATATTTTAAAAAAAAATTCATCTGGTGATCAGACACTTCTTTGCCCCCTCCTTTCCCATCTCAGGACCTGAAACTGGCTGCAATGTGATGGAGGAGGGTCATCTGTCTATGTGTTATTTTCATTGGTTAATAAAGAAACTGCCTTGGCCCTTTGATAGGACAGAAAATTAGGTAGGCCGAGTAAACAGAACAGAAGGCTGGGAGGAAGAAGGCAGTGAGGCAGACGCCATGGCTCTCCTCTCCAAGATGGATGCAGGTTAAGATCCTACTCGGTAAGCCACCAACCACCTCGTGGCGCTACACAGATTATTAGAAATGGGTTAGATCACTATGTAAGAGTTAGCCAATAAGATAATGGGCCAGGCAGTGTTTAAATGAATACAGTTTCCGTGTAATTATTCCGGGTAAAGCTAGCCAGGCAGCGGGAACACAGCCCGCCGTTCCTTCTACAGCAATGGGACCACCACACTGTCTATCTTTTTGTTTTGTTTTAAGAAAAGTTTTTTCTGTATAGCCCTGGCTGTTCTGGAACTCACTTTGTAGAACAGGCTATCTTCAAACTCAGAGATCCAGCTGTCTCTGACTCTTGAGTGTCAGGATTAAGAGGTTGCACAACCTCATCCAGCAGCCAGGTACTTTCTTTTCTTATTCATTTCCACACACAGCAAACCTGTTCATGTATATCTGACATCTATTCAAGGGACATGTCACTCTTTAAACTTAACAAATTTTTCTCTGTGAAATGTACACTTACAGATCATTTTAATTGCCATTTGTGCATTTTCGCTGTAATTTGACTCTATACACCTTAAGTTCTACAGTTCCCAATCATCACCATTTTACTATTAATAATCTTACCCTAATACATTATACACTCATTTCACAAAGGGATTTTAAGTAATAATACCCTGGAAAATACCTCAACACCTACAAATTCATTTACATTTTTTATCTCACCAACAATGAAAGAATGTTGGTATTAGCTATCACTGCTTTTATCACCTTTATTTTGCAAAGTAGAAAAAAAAGAATCAGGTTTTACTAAATTTTACAAGGTCAAAGAAGTAGAGCTCAAGTTTAACCTATCTAACTTTCCGAAGACACTTTCAATTACAGGAAAGTAACAATCAGCAAAACCATACTATAGCATATTAAAGAATTCAACTGCTTCAGACCTAAGAACAAGAAGAAAGAAGGCAACAAATATTTTTAACCCATGAAGAAAGCATCTCATTCAAATGCAATCTATCTTTTCATTTTGGAGATTTGGAGATAGGGTCTCACTCTGTATACCTGACTGACCAAGAGATCCGCCTACATCTGCCTCCTAAATACTGGAATTAAAGGTGTAAATCAGAATCCCCACTCAACTTCTTCAGTTCTGAGAAGACTGAACTTGGTTTATTCTCATTTACCGCGCTTTTCTCTAAAATTATCACAACAGAGGCTAGGAATTTAGCTCAGTTGGCAAGAGTACTTGTCTAACATGCACAAAACCCTGGGTTTGATCCCCAGCATAAATGAAGAACAGCAGCATATGTCTGTAATCCCAGCATATAGATTTAATAGGATCAAAAATTCAAGGCATCCTCAGTAACATAGATCTTATGTCAAAATGAGCCACAATAGAAACAAAATTACACTGAAGCAAATCAAGATCAGAGAAAACCTCACAATCTGTCATAACCACAGAAACTGAAAAATGGCAAACTGGGTAAACTGGTGCTCACCTATAATCCCAGCACTAGAGAGGTGCAGAAAAGAGAATCAGTTCAGGTTCAATCTCAGCTACTCAGTGAGTTTGCGGCCAGCCTAGGCTGAGGCCCAATCACAAAACAAAAACTAGTGAATGTAGACAGCTCTGCTCTTCATCTGTTTTCCTAACTCAGTTGCCTAATACCAGATTCAGTGAAAACTTTATTCTTGCTGCTACCAAACAACTCAATTCACTCTACAAACTTCAGTCTGCTACCTTTTATAAGCCTATGTTAACTCCATCTAGCAATGATATTCTTCTAGACATCCATAACACAATAAAAACTCTCGGCACATATCTATCTTGACCCTTACTTCCCAGCCTGGACACTGTGAACACCAAATTATGCAGACATTCATTTAGGGCTGTAGAAGAGTTGCTGTACCAGCTGTTTGCTATACTATAAGATAGCCTTCAGCTGCCA